ATCCTGGTATTAAACAATTGTGAGTCTCCTACAGGAGCTAATGGGCTAAAGGAAAAACAAATGTGTTCTCTGTACCTCACCCTTTTCTATGGTCTTATAATGATCTCTGTAAAGATGATGTAACATCCTAATATTTGGATTGGCTGCAAACACAACCACTGGCACATACTCTCAGTAGCCTTGTCTTAACACTGATTGGTTATACTAACTGGTGTTTCGGATGTTCACATATCAAGAACTCATTAAACAACAGTGAAGTCTTTAAACTTCTAAGATGCTTTTTAACACTGCTGTGTGGAGCTTTGAATGTAAAGAAAGGCATAGTGTGGATGGAGCATATGTGTCACAGCAGCATGTGGTCCGACTGTCCTGAAGTATCAGTTCAACACAGGCCCGGGTCTTTCAACACCACCACCACCCCATGGAGTGAAACATTCGCCTGAGAATAGATCCAGGCTCAACAGGAGCAGTCAAACAACATGAGGCAACTGTCAAAGGGGAAAACCCACTGATGTACCAGAGGCTAACTTTAGCACAGTGGTCATCTGGTGATAGTGAATAAGATAAATGTATTTGCACGAGACACTATTGTAAGACAAGTATACAACCAGGCAGCCAGAGAGAGGGCAATAAAGTGATGTGGAAATTGAAGTGTGTGAGGGTGATGGAGAGGGTGAGGGTGGGGGAGACAGGGGGTTCTGTAACAGTAGCTCCTCTCCACGCTACCCTATTACCAGCTTCATCACCCGCAGGAATAACAGTTGGATACATACAAAGGCTTTGCGCATAAAGACACACAGACACACTGGGAACCATTGTAAAGCGTGACACATGGGGAGAAGAACTCTATCACACTTTCTAACATGTTGAATGACAATCGTCCACATGGACCCGCAGGCGTTTATACGCTTCTTCTTTTTTTAGCAATGATACATTTGAATCTACAGCAAGAGAAGAAACCTGCTGCCTGTCAGGGTTGGATAATAAATTCAATAGATAGATGGATGATATAACAGTCAATAAAAAAAATAAATAGCTTAATTAGATTTAGCAACACATAGGATTCAGTATCCAAAATGTTATGTAGACATTACTCAAAGTTAACCAAAAATGTTTTTTAAAAAAGCTAAAAGTACAGTTAGAATAATATTAATAAAGTGCAACTGGAATAGAGTCAAAATATATAATAATCAAGCAAACAGCTAACATTAGCCAAATTATAGTTAGCTTAGATAATGTTAGCAAATAAAGCTTCATATAAGCAAAGCAAATCAGGGTTTAGCACAAATATTTAGCTTGTCCCTGATACGTAAAAACACAACTCTGTTAGTGCTAAATACTGTAAATGTACTGCAAGCTGCTCGACAACAAAATATCATTTAACAAAAATGTTAAAATTAAAATAACCAACTAAAAAATAGCTCTAACGGTTAGCTTAGAAAAAGGTGGAAGTCTTGCCAAAATGGCAAATAAAATAATTAAACATAAGCATAGCCGATGGATGGATGGATGGATGGATGGATGAACGGACGAGGGTAGGCCAAAATATGTTGCCCCATGAGACCTCAGTGGAAACTTACACCAAGCCCCCACAGAAAAGGATAAGACCATCTGTCTCCTTGTGCATCAAACCCACCTAGAACACACACACATACACACTCACACAGGCAGGAGTCTTGGGCAAGGCAGCAATATGGAGAGGCTTTGTTGACCACGTTTGAACTGCCTTTCATCCAGTCAGTAGCAGGCAGGAGGCTGAGCTTGTCTCTGTGTCTCCAGCTTCACTGTCCACTGTCCAAGTGGGAATCATTGGCCGATGACCTGAGACAAGACAGGCAGATGACAGGCTGGTCAGTCTCGTCTCCTGACCCAGAGGCTACAGATGTACAGTACGTCCTATTCTATTTATTAGGAACAAAAGAAAAGTTCCCACACACTGGAAGAAGAGCCTCCCTCCTCCGCAGGTGATGGTCGCTCACTAAGAAAAAAGAAAAAAGAGTTAGTTAAAGTGTCAATGTTCACACCACCTACAGGACAAATAAAAGTTATTATTGTTATCGATAAAACTGATGATGTCATTTTATACAACTTTTCCTGTGGTTTTAACTTAATGCAGGCGAAGAAAATAACAAAGAGCTGCTGTGGTTATGGTTTATGAGCCAACTCATCACAAAGTCTGAGTCTTACTGGACACACACACACACACACTCGCTGCAGTATGCTACACAGACAGCTATTAGGCAATCGATAGAAGAGTACAGGCTTTGACCACTCAGCTTCACTAGCTTAGCAGATGAAAAGAGGAGAGGAAAGGAGAGGACAGAAAAGGAGAGGAGAGGAGAGGAAGTCACCAAACCCATCATGAATTGAACTCAACTGAAACTTTTTCCGTGACTTGCACATACACTAAGACTATGGTAACTGCACAGAAACTCATCTTAGCATTCATTGTCAGTGACTCTACCTCAGGGACTCGACTCGACTCTCATTCTTTGACTCAGACACAGTTCATAAACTTGGTGACTTAATTCAACACCAACACAGAAAACTTCTTCTCAGTCCCAGTTGCGGACGCGGCCCATTTATCTTGACTTCTGCAGCACTGCCTCACTGATATCAATAAATAACATGACCTAATCGGTGCATTACATTTAGTTGAGGTCACATTTATGAGCTGCAGCTAAACGTTCATCATACGTTGTTTTGGAGAGAGTAATGGCCTAGTGCTTCAGTCTGACAGGGAATTAACATCAGCAAAACTATAAGCCATAAAACCCTCACTGCTCCCTGATCATTAATATCATATTAATATAGAGATTAATCTGATGGATCGTCCTCCGGGGGCACTGTTAACTCGCCAGGAGGTTAAGTGTGAAATCAATCTGTATAAACAAAACCACATTCTATTCCTCCATCAGACAAAGGGGAGTCCTGAATCAGCCAATCACAGAAGGTGCTAGTGAAATCGGTCTGTTAACACAGCTCGCTAACAATCTCAGTATTTCAGCTCTGGCAGCTCATTCTCCTCTCTCTCCTTCTGTCTTTCTTTTTGTCTTTGTCTCCCGTCCCCTCCCGCTCCTCCCCTCTGCTCCTGGATGGCCACAGAGGGGAGGGTCCTCTCCATTCAGACCAGGCCCCTTCATGGATGCTCAGGGGTCGTATAAGTGGGAGGGGCCAGGCCGTGGAGGTTGATCTACACTTGTTCAAGTATCCATATCTGGCCTATTTAGAGGGAGAAGGCGGCTGTTAAACATTCAGTGAGGAGCAGTGAGGATGTGGCGCCTGACCCTCATGACTGCTGACCATCCGTTACAAAAAACAAATAGGGAGGTTGGGCAGAGAGGTACTGATGGTACTAATGGCTCCTGTCACTGTAGGACTATTGAACATTAGACTTCAATATGTGATATTTGAACATATTTATCTAGAGCACAAAACTAGACTTGTTTTTTCTGTAACTAAATACAAAGTACTAAATTTCCCTAAATGTTATAGAATAGGATGACAAAGAAGTAGGTTTAGATTTGGACCAGGGATGAGGAGAAATGACAAAAATAAAACATCTAAATAGCTAAACTTTGGTCCTAAATGTGATAAATATATAACAAATAGCTTCAAATATGCCCAGTAATAGGAAGATTTGTAAGGGCTAGCTAAACTGTAGTAAAGACTAGCTAAAGGTTAGACAAGATGGAAACCAAACACTTTGCAGGAATTGTACAATCTAAACAACACTTTTTACAAAAGTGAGACCCAGCTCAGACCGTGCCTCAGTTATGCCTCTGTTCAAACAAGACACTCAGACACGAATGCTCTGCATCACAAGTAGATTTGGCCCAGTACCAAAACTAGTCCGAGGTCCAGATTTTAGCAGCATCTCAATCTCGCTGAAAACATTCTAGTCTAAAAACTTCTGTTGATGTCTTTTCTCTGCCACTGTTGACCATCACACGTTTGAGAGACACTCTCTGTGTCGTCGTGTCTGACTAACGCGTCTTCATTGTGATGTATGGTGTCCTCAGAGGTCAAAGGTGACATAGCAGAGCATCAGAACAAAGGCTGCAGACAGTGTCATCTGTCAGAGCTCATGCTGCTGCCACCACCGCACAGCTAAGTGGCTCTTTCCTCATTTTAACATCAACACACTGAGAGACACATATACTGTACACACACACTCTCTCTCTCTCTCTCTCTCACACACACACACACACACACACACGTTCAAACATTCGAACTCTAAAACAGCCAAGTCTTGGGACACAAAAATATATTTGCCATTTATTCCTTGAGGCTGAACAGAATCAGTGCAGTTGTATCTGTGGCTGTGATCTTTGGAGAACATGTGTGCCAGTTGGTGACAGTGTGAGGGCAGATGTCTGTCATGGGGAGCTCCCTTTGTGCCCGGGGCAATAGACCACCTCACTGCTGCACTCTATTGTCATTCACTGGGTCCACTGGGATTTGTTCAGTTTTACTGTCTCTGAGCCTGCAGCCTGCCATTCATCACGAGGCTAAAGACAGCAGTCAAGACAGAGGGACAAATGCACTGAGTGGACTGGGTTAAAAATAGACGGGCGGACATAATGCGACTTCATCCTGACTCCGTGTGCATTCAGGAGCCGATGGGTTCATAGTTAGTGACATTATAACAGCATTAGTCCTAATTTCATGCTGTTTTCTTTTTATTTGTTGATCATTAAAAAAAAAGGCAAAAGCTCATAGGAAACAAACAAAAACACTTTCGCTCTTGCAGCCTTTCAGTACAGTAAAAAATATTACTATATTTATAAATAAAAATTATGGTAGTACACTTTTTTTTACACAAATAGGTCTTAAAATCCACAATGATAGAAAATAGCTTTAGTTTTGAAGCTTTGTTCGATGCATGGTAACAAAGCTCTGGTTATATTCACCACAATGATGTAATGAGGTTTAATGTTATTGTTATGTATTTGAAATCACCAAAAGCATTGCAGAGAAAAACGCTTTAAGTCACTAAACAACGAACAACACTCTTTAACATATAAATAGTTTTAAATTATAGCAAAGTCTATTTAAATAAGCTCTTTACAATAGAACATTTTTATTAAGCAGCATTAATTTAAACTTGATTTTTTTTCCTGTGGTCCACTAATATCTGCCGACATTCATATATATTTGTCAGATTATTTCCAGGGACGATATTCCTGATTGACAACACTTAACCCTGCAAAGCCAAAATTTTCTCCCACTTTTGTGAGTCCGTCTGGAATGTCCTTCACTGGAATGATCGTGTCCTCTTGTAGTACAGTCCCAGGAGAAGACAGGAGAGCAGTGTTGTCCAACGTTTGTCTTTCTGCAGATTATAAAGAAAAGTTTAATCACAAGAACAGGGAGATTTTGAAATAATTTCTTTTAATTTTAATAGATACATTATTTTTAAAAAGCTATTGCAATACTAAGAAAAACTGATTTAGTTTACAGATATATTCTTGATACGTTAGGGGGAAATTATGTTAAAAGATTAAATGCATTATTATTGTAATTCTTTAATGAGGATGTCATATTATAAATACATTTATGTATAGTTTACTTTCGAAATTTCCGTTTAAAGCATTTATAGTTTGTTTTTCAGTTATAACAACAAAGCAATATAAAAATAGAAATACATATAAATAGTTCAGAATTATAAGTAATAACTAAGTAAAAAAGTAAAAAATAAACTAGTGTGTAAAATAAATAGCCAATATGTATAAATATGGTATTAGACGAAGACGAATGAAGAATGCCGTAGATTTGTCGATTTTATGTAGAAAAGGAAACTAAAAAATCCTTTACTCTTGTGACTCTTGATGTGGAATTTCAGTTCCTGCTCATCTTGGAACGCAGCCCCGCACATCTCACACGGGAACGATTTTTCCCGGGCGTGTGTCCGCCGGACGTGACTGTCGTGGGCGGCGTGAGAGGCGAAGGCCTTCCCGCAGTGTTTACACTTGAACGGCCGCTCTCCGGAGTGCTGCCGAATATGAGTGCGGAGAATACTGGAGGCTGTGAAGGCCTGCAGAGACAAAAACAAAACAAAAAACAAAACACTTTTATTTAAAAACTGAGAAGAGAAAACGTTTAGAATTTCAGCAAAAACAAAAAAAAACATTCGAACAATTTATATTTTCTTATTGACATGAGAACTATTTCCGCTTTTCAGAATAAAACGTAAATATTAATATTTACAAAGTTTGAAAAGATGCCACGTTTCTTAAACGTTGTCTAATTGTATGGCGTCACTATGCACGACTCGTGCCTCACTCCAGGAAGAAAAAGACGGATTAGGATTAAGCGAAACAAAGCCTTAATCGGGGCGAGTGAAAAGTGGGAGGAAATACAGGAGAAAAAGAACAAAAAAAACCTCGGTGCCTCATCGTCAGGCCGTAAACTAGAGGTTTAATCTGGGTAGACAAAAGGGTGGGTGGACATCTGGCCATAATTAGAATGTAAGTGTGTTTCCACGGAGCGTGGCTGTGGACAGAGGACAACGAGGACGATGAGATGGGGCTCAGGACAAAACCAGCATGAAACGAGCTTCATGGATCTAAATGGATCCAAAATCATGGATCACGGTCTGTCTCTCCTCACCAGGAGAGAAATCAAATAAAACACGACATAAAGGTTTTACAGAATCTTTAAGGGAACAACAATAATAACATCTCAAGTCCTTAGAATGATAATCTTCTAAATGATTAATATAATATAGAGATGAAGCTACAAACTAATCTGAAGCAGCGTCATCAACATCCCTCTCACCTTGTTACAGTAGACACACTTGTACGGCCTTTCTCCAGAGTGAACGCGCATGTGTTTGTTGAGACTGGAAGACTGAGAAAAACTCTTCCCACACACCGAGCACTGGAAAAATAAATAGGCTCATTAGACTATAATAATAATAATAATAATAACAACAACAACAACACAATTTCTAGCTAATTCAAATCATGTACAGGTCTGAAAAACTGCAGAAAGCAAAGACAATACTTTGAAATCACTAACAATATTTTGACTGCATTATAATAATAATATTAATAACATACATTATTATTGTTGTTGTTGTTATTATTTAGAATTCATAGGTCAACAATTGCGTTAGACAAATATTTTATAGTAGCGATATTTCGTAAAATAAATAAAGAAATTATTTTTTTTAAAAATTGTAATTGTTGTTCAGAACGCTGTAAAATTCTTTGAAATAATTTGCTTTATTTATTAATTGTAAAAATAGTAAGAAAATATATATAAATTTGCTGCGGTACCAGGGACAATTTGAAATATAAATAAACATCGTGCATAAAAATCGTGCAATTTGCTCTAACAATTGGGAGATAACTGCAATGTATACAGCTTTGATCTTTATTTTATATTAGATCTTTGGTTTTGTTTTTATTTTTTCTTCTACTGTTGTACAATTTATTCCTTCTCTGTCTGTTCATCGGTTGTGTTTTATTTATTATCTTGAAGCCAGAGAGAGCAACGGACGAAGTACAACTCCTGGAGCGTTCTCTCACACCTGCACAAAAAGCTGATCCTGGATCAGATCAGTGACGGGGAGCTGTTCTTTCAGCACCACACACACTTAAAACGGAATACTTTCTGATCTGCTCTCTTACCTTATGTGGCCTGTGTTTTTCGTGCACATGCAGGATGTGGATCCTCAACCTGTCCCTCTTCTCGAATGATCTGTTGCACAGGTGACAGGGGAACTTCCGGTCCCCCTGGTCCACACAGCGCGTGTACTTGAGGTGTTTGTCTCTGTAGTATTTGTATGCGAACACTTTCCCACACCTGTCGCACTTGAATCCCTCCCCGGAATCTGCAGGTGGAAATTACAGAGATGGCATTAAATATGTCGATCAAACCAGAAGGTAATGTTCCAGCCAGGGCCGCACACTGACCTTCACTGGGAGGAACCGCGCTGTTCTCCTCCCTGCCGTCCCTCAGGGTGAGCGGGATGCCGAGGAACTGCATGTAGCAGTCTCCGTACCACACCAGCAGCTCCTGGCCTGCTCTGATCTCCTTACAGGCCTCGTAAAAGATCTGACCCTGGACCTGCACCGCGACCAGGTTCTGTTCCTCTGGGAAACGAGCGCATTTCACCAAGGACATCCAGTTCCCTGACCCTCCTCTGCCGTCCACGAAGTGACTCAGACGGCCGTTCTCAAACACCTGGAGGACAAGGGGGGAGGGGGGGGGGTCAGTCCATGAGATGAGAGTGGGGACAGAGAGATGTTTCTGGATGAGTGTGAACCAATCATATACCTCCCACATCAAGGTGTTGTCGTCGTAGGTCTTGATTTCACTCGTGTTGACCAGTTTTCCTTGAAAAGGTCCGAAGCGGGTTCCTTTGGTGATGTTGCCTTTGTCCGTGAAGACTCCACAGTGAGAGACGTTTCCCCACGAGGCCTGGAGAATTGTTAGAGCTGGAGAAAATAGGGGGAAAAGTTTCAGAACACCAGGAGTCCAGAAACAAACACGCACACAGAATTCTCACCGGTCTGATTCGTCTTACCCTCGGGAAGATCCAGCGATTCTTTGTCCAACTGGAGGATGTGAGAGTTAGAAACTAAAGAAAGAAAAGAATCACAACTTGAAAAAAAAAATTGTAAAAAAAGTTACAGAACATGACGATGGACGGTTTTTATTTATTTATTTATTCTTTAAATCTTATTGCCACAGACATTTGCTAACATTTCTCTGGGGTCAGTCATATGTGGTCTCTCACCTGAGTTCTCCGGCAGACTCACTCCTGAGATGGCGTGGCCCACGCTGCGCTCCTGGCTGCCGGAGTAACCGTACAGCACCATGAACAAATCGTCCTCCGTGAAATTATAGGACGTGCGAGATTTCTCCGGAGACACCTCCGAGCTCCTGAACCGAAACAGAGCGTCCTTGGGTGGTGATGAAGAGGAGACAGAAGTAGAGCGGTCACTGGACGGACTGCTGAAGTCTGTGGAGAGCGGACCGGCGGCGTGCTCCGTCACCACAGCTGCCAGCTCCTCGGGTTTGGAGAACAGCGGGTGTCCAGGAAGCACCTGGCTCAGGTAGGGAATCCCGGAGGAGTTAGAGGAGGAGGAGACGCTCAACATGTGTTCGTGCAGGAGCGACGCCTGGTGTGCGCCCTGACCGAGGAATGGCGGAGCCCCGGCTGCCCCTCCTGCTCCTGGCAGACTGAGAGGCAGAGCAGCCTGAGTGTCCGACACCAGGCGACCCAGAGACTTGAGCGGGTGGAGGAGGCTGTGCGTCTGCGGGAAGAAGTCCATGAAGTGATGCGGAGCAGGGAGAGGAGCAGGGTAGAAGCCGCGGGCCGGACTGGACTTCATCATCCCGGCTGGGTAGCTCTTGTCCTTCAGCATGACGGGGAAAGTGGACAGGGACACGGACATGACAGCACTGAGGACGAGGACAAGGAGGAGGAGGTGCAAGTGCCGAGATTTCTAGAGTGGGGAGAGACAGGGGGAGGGAGTGGAGGAGGAGGGGGCGAGTTATTAAAGTTTAATGTTAAAAAACTAAAAAAAGACCCATGACATCACAGGAGGTTGACCACACCTGGAATGTTGCTTTTAATTCCAGATACTTTTGACCTCAGTCTTCTCACCTCTGTTTAAGATTAGGATTATAATCCGACAGCTCCTCGGGGTTTGCTGTATTAATCCATACGGATATTAAGACCAATAGATAGAAATCCCGTTGATGCCAGAAGAATATCTCGGCGTATAAATTTATTTTTATTTATTTTGTTTAATAAACGCCTTTAATTACTATTGTTTGGCCTTTTTCCTCTAACTCTCTTCGTAAACCCTCATTTCAAATACAGCACATATATTTTCCCTTCAAATTCCTGTTGACAGAAATGAATACGCAGTTCTGTGAGGAAGGAAGTTAAATTTCCTAGAAGAAATTAAAGATCGTTATAGAACTTTTATTTCTAGTTTGATTTTTCTATAGACAATAAAAAAGATTTTTTTTACAGAAAAGGCAAACTAGAAATTAAATAAACAAAAACATATATGTAAGAATACAGATCCCCGTAACAAGGATGTATATTGATTTATTTGTCCCTATATTGATAAGATAAATATAACTATATTATTTTTCTAGTTTCCTACAGGAAAGACATCAATCCTTACACATTACACGATTTTCTCACTAGAAAAAAAACAAAGCAATTCAATATATCCTACAGAGAACCATTTACACATTTCTAGCTTTATTTTCGTTCTATACAATTAAAAAGATATATTTTTTGTATAGAAAAAATCGGTATCTTCTACAGTCGGTGTAGAATCCGTATGAAAATATTAAATCCAAACAAATCAGAGTGAAATGAAATGATACAAAATCCTTTTCTGTGATCCAGAAACTTGCCCTCAAACCTGATTTGTTTTGTTCAGAAATTTAAATCCCAGCTGTTGGAAACTGTATTTTTACGGCTAAAAATCTGCAAACGAGCAAATTCTGACCTGGTCATGAAAAAAACGTCCGGCTCTGAGAAGAACTTCGACAGACGATTTTGCAATATTTCCAGTTGAGAGGACACACACACAGCTGACACACACCGATCCTGCAGCAGGAGTGCGTGTGTTTTCAGAGGAAGCCTTTACCAATCAGCCTGTAAACAGAGAGACAAACCAGGGTCATGACACCAATTACAGAGGAGTGTCTCAGAGCAGAGGTCAACATTAATGAAGCCGTTAATGGACCGTACAATTACACTGGCCTCATAAAAACCAAGGAACCAAAGACTGGAGGAATGACAGAAATATGAGTTTTATTAAATAAGAAAAATAATCGGAATTATGATTTTTTTTTAAGTATAAATTGATTCATAAACGTAACCAACATAGTTCCGTTGTCATTTCCCAGGGTCGTCCAGCTGGGTTCTCGTCTTACCTTGTGAACTGGAGCGGGTCACAGTGAAAGCTCTCCTCTCATGTCCACAGGCTTCAGCTTCGTGCAGGATCAGAACGGACACAGAGCCTCTCCGTGGAGCTGCTCGACCTTCTTCCTCTGTTTCTCTCCACGTCTCGCCCTCTCCCACTCTGTGGTCATCTGAGGGCATCCAGCCTCCACTCACTGTACTCACTCAGGTCAGCTGGAGACTGGAGACGCTTCCCCACCACCTTCTTCCTATTGGCCAGGAATCACCTCACCCCTCATGCATCTCAATGTTCAGGGACAACCCACCCATCAGCCCCTGATAACTTCTTCCCACCAATACACCAGTGCGTTTTTTAACCCTTATGCCACAGTTAGTGAGAGAGAAAGAAAGGTACCCCCACCAGAAAGATTTCCATAAGAAGACCATGCTCCCCCTCACCATTACACTTGATAAGATGTTATCTCGCGGACCCCCCCAGTGGAGCTGAGATGCTTGTTGTTAGGACTTGGATGTGGAGAGTTAGAGGAAAAAGGCCAAACAATAGTCATTAAAGGCGTTTATTTATGTGCTGCGTTTTTTCTTCCCACCGCTCCGAACTCAATCGAGAAAACGAGTAAAAATCTAAGAAACCTCACAAAAAGTGCTTAAACTCCCATGATTTTTGTATTATATTAATTGTTTCAGAAACACCAAACTTGAGTTGTTGATTCGGCGTTAAATTCACTAATACATTTGTATGCATTTTATTTTAATGGGCGGTGGGGGGTGAGGGATTTATGCAGGGGAGGCGGAAACTGCCGCTGATTGTTAATCTGATCATAATCGACTAATAAATAAACCTCTACACACTAATGGTTGGAATATCTAAAGAATTTGAGAGAATAGAATTTTTTTACTTGAACGTTTAAATTAATTCAAATTTGTGTGATTTAGACACATTTTAATTAATTAAGGTTTTTCCTTTTCTTTTTAAAAGGTTATTTTCCTTAAACGTCTAAAAACGGTCCGAATCCTAATTTCCTGACAAATTCTCACTTTGTTTTTAGGATTTTGAGATTGACAGAATACATTTTGAGATGAGTGTATAAAAATAAAAAAAATATTTGGAAGAAAAAAGACCCAACTTCACCCAGTGTACACCACAAAATAAAACATTAAATGTGCAGTTCCAAAAGTATAACAAGAATATAGTTTTATAAAATGCTGGCGTTACCTTGCAGGACACGTTTGCTTTCTCAGAAACCTACAAAAACACAAAAAAGGCACTTTCCCCCATTTCTGTCAAAAGAAATTAAAGAGTCAGCTTTTATTAAATATTGCAATAACAGAATTCTTTATTTACAAGGCAAATAGCATCAGCGAAGCCATAATAGTTCACAACTTGCATAACTGTGGTTTTTAACTTCTCTCGTATATCTAATTTTTGCATAAACGCTCATACATCCACACATAAACACGCACACACATACACTCTTTTTCATTCACATTCACACACACACACACACACTGAGGAACAGGAAGGTGGATGTGGATGTACAGTGAGATTCTTGGATTATGAAGAGGGAAAAAAACATGGGGGCGGGGGTAAAAACACAACTAGAAAGAAAAGGTTTGTATAGTATTTTACATATTGCTTCAATATCCCTAGGTATGATACAAACAGTGGGAACATGAGGGGAAGGGGGACGGGGACGGGGGCAGTTAGGGTCTTCAAAACCGGCAGCGAAAATATGAGGAGGGAGAGTCCGACTGTGACAGGGAGGAGCTGGAGACGATGACGCAGCCACTCTATAATGTACACAGGTCATTATACAAATTTGTACAGACAGAGCGGTGTAATGTACAAGAACAAGAACGGACGAAAATCTAAGGCATTATGCTCAGGTTTTGAAGCATTTCAAGGTTCTTGCATCTTAGCTCTAAGAAAACTGACAGACGATACAAAAAGGGCATTTAAAGTTCTTCAAAAGCATAAGAGACAAAATAGTTTTAGATTAGTGGGTCCAAAGCTTGGATTGATTTTTTTTTTTTTAAAGGGGCAAAAAATCATTAGTTTGCACCTGTCCTCGTTATAAACTCTAAAAAAATTTGCTACCACATGGCTTTAAGTCTTCAAAATCTCAACAATCTTTGGGAATTTTGCAAAGGGCTGTGAATCATTCATTTAAAAATGGCTCCCAAAAGCTTGTCCTGCACCCCCCACCTCGTGTTGTACAATCAAAAGCAGCATTGCTCAAAGGAACTGCGGACGCCGTCCGTCCTCCTTGCTACAGATTCAAATTTCTCTCAAAGAACTCAGTTTAAAAAAGATAAGCGACGGCGGGGAAACCTGCTCCGTAAATGCCGAGAGATCGACGGCGTGGGTCGCAGGCCTTTAAATGACATTACATTCAGGATGATTGGTCTGTTGTGTTCAACGCTGCCACCTCTACATCATTAGACCCTGTTGAGTGACATCATGGTAGATCATTGCCTAAGTGTGGGCCTCCGAGTGTAAAAACACCAACAGGTGGAAAAATATAAGCTGGTACAATTCAGGAATCCAATTATGAAGGTGAGGATTATTTGGCTTTGCTCCATGTCTGTCCTGGGTAAAGTAGTGGATATAAAAAGTCCTCTCTCTTTGAGGAAACTATACGTTTTTGAGGTTAAGAGATCTTGAGGTCAAATCGAAACCCCCCTCCCCCGCTCCAAAAAGATAGCAATAGTCATTAGTGAACACTTTGTACTGCCTGAGGTCATAAATATATATATATATATGGCTAAAGTGTCTGTCAGAGCAGATTTTTCACTCTGACGTCTGCAATAGGAGAGCGCCAACTTTTTCCATCTCTTCAAAAAAAAAAAAAAAAACCTCAGCCATCGCTGCATAATCTGTGTATGGATGTAGGTCTGCTCAGTAGAAACTGTAAGAAAAAAGAAGTAATACTGCTTCCAAACATGGAGCAAATGTGTCTCAATTCTTTTTTGTTTTTATATATATAACCTCAGGAAACTGTAAAAAAAACCCTACAAAACAATAATTAAAAAAAAAAAACACAAAAAGAGACTCAAGTAGTTATTGCTTGTTTACATCACACCAGAACAGTTTGCACCTAGCAGCTTGTATGAAGCAATTCCACTCCAGACAACATAGAAAGCACACTTTTGTTTTTCTTTTTTTTTCTTTTTTTTTTTACTTAAAGTTACTGTATGGCTGTGTTGACTTTGTCCTGTTGTTGTTTTTTGTCTTTATGTGTTCTATGCTAAAGGCAGAGAAGCAAGCGGTAATCTGTACACTGTATACACAGCACACCCCCCGACCCCCGGATACGACCCGTCCCTACATCTAACCCGTCTGCGTCGTACCACAGCCTCAGCTCATGACGGCGCCATCTCTACAAACATAACAAACACAAACGAGGATTTAAAAACTCTGGGCTCCAGGAGTCAGTTGTGACCAGACAGGAGGAACCAAAACCATAAAGAAATAAAATAAATAGGAAAGAAAAAAAAACAAAAAAAAAAACAACAACATTGTATTACTCATTGGTATATTATGTACAATCACTGTAATTCATTTTTAAAACCGTGTCTGATGCTGACATCACCTCGTGAAACTACAGGACCAACGCATGACTCTCATTTTACTCCGATCATTAGAAGAATATCCTCAGAAAGAACACAAGTTAAAATCACATATATACATATATATCAATATATATGTGTGTGTGTGTGTGTGTATATATATATATATATATATGCCTTGCTCACACTTTTTAGAAACATTTTCTTTCTCGCTGCTACCAGGATAAAGAATCATCTACAATAATTAAAATGAATCTATACAGAAAAATAAAACTTAATTTAATACACTATAGAAACCTCTGGACTAAATTAGTCTAATCATACAAATCACCAGTCCACGCAAACCATTATTATTATCATCATCATTATTATTATTATTATTATTAATCTGCAATGTTTTTCAAGATCAGTTGCTCCAACCATATCTTCAATCTACATCTTATTTCTCAGGAAAAAAAAATCCTAAAATAATTTTAATAATAAAATAAAGAACAGCAAAAAAAAAAAAAAAAAAAAAAGGCAAAAGAGGCCAAGTGAGCTCGGTCCATAATTTCTCAACATTACCTGGAGTCTCTGCTGCCGTTTTAGGATCTTTGTAGAAATGTCACAAATGTGTGAAGAAAAAAAAAGAAATCAGTGTATGTCTTCGTTTTTGAGATGAGATTGTAAATGGCCACTGTCCACTGAGAGGAATACATTCATCAGAAGGAGGGATCTCACCCACTGCTGCCCCCTACAGTCCGTGTCCCACACTGGGAGGCCTACAGTAAGTCACACTACGGTGAATGCAGCTGGACAGGCAGGCAGTCTGGCTCGTCACAGATCCACCGTTCATCCCCAGCGCTCATCATTATCATCATCATCATCATCACTCCGTCCTGTGTGTCTGTTCCAGGTCAGGCTCCTCTCTCTGGTGCCGTTTAAAGAAGCCCAGCCGGGTCGGAGGGAGGTGAGTTTCAGGCTGGGGAGACGAGAAGATCAGGGCACGGCCCGGCTGATTCAAGGAGCCGTCAGGTTGGATTATGTTGTCTGTACAATATAGTTTAAAGGCTGACGTGCTCCTTACACCAGCTGATCACTGAGGTTCAGGTTCAGAACTCCATCAGGGTCAACAGTACTTCTGCTTGGACAACAACAGCACAGAAGATGGTTATGGTTCAAACACAGACAACAGCCAAAACATCAACAACAAATCAATCACCATGTTTTCATTCAAGTCGTTTTCTGCTTTAAACCTATTGTGTGTTTAAGCCTTCAAAGCGCAATTGTTCTTAAGACATGGCCCCTTACATGATTAGGTTTGACACCCCAGGCCTAAACTCCACAACATTCAGATCAGTAGCTTTGGGAGTCAACTTGAACCCATTTCCTCCCGACTTAAAACTTGCAAACTTGCCTTGAACTTGTCCGAGGGGTACAGGTCATAAACAAGTGTAAACTATCTTAGCACACTGAAGCCTCAAACAAGTCAGTAAATCAGCAGAGGCCTGCGCTAATGGCTGAATGGTAAATAATTGACATTATCTAAGTGCCAATATCTTTCTATAATCCTGGAAGGAGGATAAATCAGGTGACAGATATACTGGTACGGTACAACTGTCTGAAGTGCAGACAATCAAACAGCAGCACCTTGGTTAAATATTCATAGGCCTTTATTGGGCTTAAAAGCATCACGGACAACTGCAGTGCATCTGCACACTGAGCTGCTAACACCAGACAAACAAAGGAGCGACAGATTAACTTAGTCCACAGTGGATGAGATGTAAAAGATTAAATATTTTCAATGCCTTCAGTGAGTTTAGCCAAATGTTAACGTGCCAGTCTGATTCATAACCAAACCGCGCCATGAACAGTGCTGACATTTCCTATGCTCCCAATACTCATTTTGCATGTTAAGCAAAGCAGGACTGTGCAGGTCCAGACTGTAAACACGGTATGTTAGCATCTATACAGTCTAAATGGTCTGGCGCTAAAGTGCCCGCGGCTAATTACATCATTGTCCTCTAAGTTGGAGTCACGTATCGCAAGTCTGACAAGACGGAGTTACGTAAACTGCCGAGTAAATTATTCACTAGCACGGCTGTTCAATAAGTGTGCCCAAACACTTAGGGTCTTACGATAAGACCCAGACACACATCAGCAGCGCTGAGGATACATGAACCTTTTAGTTTTTCTTGGTCCCCTGTTCACTTCGTAAACCTGAATTAACACGAGTCCATTTCGTCCAAGTCTGTGGCTTAAAATCAGGTTGTGTTAGACGGACATTACTGCAAATGGACGATGTAAAGATACATCCTGCGGCCGTGTAAAATTCCCCTCTTACAGTGGGTTTGTCTTTTTTATTAGAAGCAGCTTAAACAACCTCCAACAACTACATTAATTCCTACCTCTAGGAATGGAGCTAGGAGTGACAGAGTAATTACCTGTTCTTGCCCCATAGGGGGCAGGCTGGGCGACGGCCCTGTGGCCATGGACGTGACGTTCATCTGTCCACCCATCTGGCCCATGCTGTTCGTGGCCATGGACACGTTGTTGAGGTTCATACCGTTGCTGTTGTACATGTTTCCGTTGTTCTGCTGGGTGAACTGAGGCGACGCCTGCTGCTGTGAGAACATACTGAAATAAAAGAAAGATAAAGAAGGTGAGCATTTAAAGGAGTGCATTTAAAATAAAAACATTTAAAATAAAAACATTTAAAATAAAAACATTTAAAATAAAAACATTACACGGAAAAGGTGAAAAAAAAAAAAAAATTAAAAAAAAAAACATTACACGGAAAAGGTGAAAAAAAAATATATAAATTATGAGTCCATGTTATTATGAGTCCATGTTCACCTGTTGCCTCCCATGTTGGCCTGTGGCCATCCGTTCATGTCAGGAGAACCCTGGAAAGCAGCTGTTCCCTGGCCCTGCTGCATCATGGGAGATTGCGTGTGGGCCATGCGAGGAGAGAGCAGAGGGCTCTGTGGAGTACCCGGGCCTCCGAAACCCCCATCTGCCTGTTGGCTCATACCTGCAGGGCAGGGGAAGACGTCAAATACACTGGATCTGCAGAGAAACAACTTCAAAACAAAATATTGAAAATCACAGAGAAGACAAACATGTGGACAGATGTTGCAGAGATGATGGAGTTGATTTGAGAATGTATTTGAATGGACAAGGATTAGGGCAAAATTATTTTTAAAGAGTTCTTCAGGTCAGAGGTCTGTCCTTTAATTGAGAAAATAATAAAACACATTTCCTGAAAGTAAAAAAGGTCAGTAATCTAACATTATTCAAAGATCTTTTTATTTACTTCAAAATTACTGACTTTTGAATCTAAATCCAAAAAAATAGCATGGATCTAAAATTCTGATAGATAAATAAGGACTGATTAAAAACACAAAAAATCTAATGTTAAGGTGAAAACTCCAACTTGAACTCTTTAAGAAATTCTATTTGGCCCTGATCCTTTTCCTTACATCTGGGAGAGCAGACAGGCAGTTATTTTTCCTACATGCATGTAATAAGTGGACAAGCAAGCAGCTAGGAGGAAAGGGAACAAGTACAGTGGAGGAAACTACAGAAGTCATATTTATCTCAGCTCACTGCAGTGTACAAACCCCAGGACCACGATGAGATAAGGAATAAAAGGAGAAAGAAATCATAAAAATTATTTTAAAAATTAATTTAATTATATAACTGTGAACCAGATTAGACACAAACCAAACCGTGTCTTTTCCATGGAATCAGCCTCATATGCTTGATAAAACTTGGTGTCCTGTCGCCCTCTAGTGGACAAGGATTGTATAGCAGGACACCATTTTGAATGATGGATTAAAAGGCAAGTTTTTGTTAGATTACCACTTAAATATGCTGCATGATGATTAATGATTGCAGACGTTTTTTTCACCCTGAAAATGTGATGCTGTGCAACTGTCACATGAACACAGACAATGGTGCACACAGACACACAGACTATATCGTAAGTGGGGTAAAGAGTGTGTGGCAGGTCTGGGGAGTGGGAACAGTACCTGAGTTGGGAAACTGAAAGGCACTGTGCTGCATTTGGGGGCTGAGTACGGCCCCGTACTGTCCGCCCATCATGCTTGTGTTTCCCATCATCATCTGTGAGGAGGAGGAGGAGGTGGAGGAAGAGGAGGAGGTACCATGCAGGTGGAGCTGAGGGTTTTGGGGGAGAGAAGGCAGGCTGGGAGAAAGAGGGGAGGAGAAAGGGCTGGTAGGGGGAGGTGGCGACGCCAGGCCTGTACTGGTACCGTAGCTGGGCGGGTAGGGGAACTGCTGGGGGTTGGCCTGGGGAATCCGGGGGTTACTCATGCCTCCGGCCATGTTGGGGGGCAGACTGAGGCCCTGGCCCCTCATGGCCATGCTGCGCTGCTGCTGGACCTGCTGGGCCTGCTGCACCTGCTGCTGCTGCTGCTGCCTCTGTCTCAGGTGATTACTGAGCAGCTCCCGCTGACGCTGTGCCAGCATCTGAGCGTTGATAGTCTGGAAGTCACAAGGAGAAAGAGGGAAAACACACACAGCAGGATAAATATATACCCTTCAGAGCTGTCGCTGAGTGTGGGAGAGGCTTAGGGACAAAGAACATATGTATTTTTAAAGTTCTGACTTTGATTCAAGAATTTTGAAGTGTATCTTAATCATCCCAACCTAAGCCTATTAAAACAACCTTCCTTTCTCAACTGTTTCTCAACCAGACTTTTTTCATTTCTCAGAGTCAAATTCCTGCTTTTGTTATGTGGCATGCCTGTGTAGACTGTGGCTGATGTGATGTGACAATACTGGTGAAATACCTGGTTTGGAGCATTAGCTCTCAGAGGTAGGTTCACATTTGACACATTACTCATTTGAGTCATCATGGGCTGACGGTTCTGTGGAGAGAAAGAAGTCAATTTATACACCTATAACAAACTGGCAATTTGGAAATACATTATTGAATAACAAAAACATATTATAAAAAGTATCTAAAGTAAATAAATTGATGCATTACTAAAGTGAATTGCAAATGAAACTACATTTTTTACTGCTGACTTGATGTGTGAATAAATGCATTCAAGACCAACAGATTTGCAAACAGACCTGACCTCCCAAATGTTTTTTTTTTGTTTTAACATATATTCTGCCAAAATGTCAAATCCAAGGGAAAACTAAACAAAGTCCAATTTTTCAGTTTAATCACACAGAACTCAGTAGACAGTTCTGATAAATGGACAATTTTGCTACCAGCAGAGACAGAAAAATGCCCTGATAGGATCAGTTGGACCATGGACCAATACTGCAACATCGTGTTCTACACAATGAGACAATGTGCATTAGGAAAACAATTCCAAAAAGGAGAAACTTCTTTTTATATATACAGAACACAGAAAGTTTTAGTTTGTCAGAAACAGATATGATGTCTCAGAACCAACAGAATCAGACCTGCTGTGACTGTAGCCGGTGCTGGAGCTGCAGTCGTAAAGTGTTGGGTTGGTTGGGGACGACCCCAGTGGGCCTGAGTCCAGGCCGTGTCTGCATCCTCATCATTGGGTAACCGGGCCGCGGACCCATCTGTCCAGACATAGGATGGAACCCTGGCTCTTGCATTGGTGCACCTGGGTACCCTCTCTGGGCCATGTGGGATGGTGGGGGACCAAACTGCTGGGTGTACATTGGGGGCTTCTGGTCTAACATCATTGAGGAGTCCTGAGCAAACTGGTCTGGTTCCAGGGTTTGAGTCTGTAAGGAGGTAGAAACACACAAATGTAACAGTATTAAAGAGAATGGGGAAAACAGAATGGGTCACAGAAGGCAGATCTCACTTGTTCTACCAAAGCTGGAATCCCAAGAGCACGATCAATCGCCTCCAAACCATCGAAATCTTTCAATGCTGTGTAGAGCTGGGACATCAGAGCCCCCTCATCCACTCCACTGCCTTCACTAGACCCCAGCCCTGCACTGCACAACAAATCATCCTGAGGCCCAGAGTGCACTGGTCTGTACAGAGGAGAGTTGGAAAGACATAATTATTTTTATTTCTAACTTGTAAGAAAGAGCCACAGAAACCTCCCATTGTAGTGTTCACAGTTTAACTGTGGTTCATTTTACCTGCTTTGATTTACAAACGAGCTCTGGTCTATTGGCATCATGCTGTCAGGCCATGGGGCTGTCTGGTTGGGTGGAGCTTGTTGCTGGGAGAAGTGGTGGCCAACCATACCCATCTCCATATCAGGTTGGGCTGAAAAAGACATACTTTTAAGTATACTTACAATTTAAATATTATTACATATTTTCCATACATTTAGTACAGCTGGAATTAATGAAGCAAAAATAAGACAGGAGGCAGAGTAAAATCATCAAAATGTTTTGGTACTGGTAACTTTTATAGGGTGTTCTATTATTGTAAGCCACAAGAGGGCATCATATCCATTCCGTACATTGATTCTCTTTGCACAGTAACTAGAGCAGTAGATAAAACTAATTTGCTGGTTTAACGTGACTAAATAAAGTTTTGTATATTTTTCCTAAATTATCCCCTCACCATTGGCCATCATTGGGGACTGAAGCATCTGCCTGGGCACTGGCTGGCTGTTGGGCCTCATGGGGGCACCGTTTGGCCCTATCCTGCCCTGCATGGCTCCTTGCTGCCCAGGGCCGGGAGCTCCCAGGGGTGGGGCAGAGGCCGAGCCCACCCAGCCCTCCTGTTGCTGCTGCATGCCAGGCCGTGGACCACCGGGGCCCATGAGACCTAAGGGAACAAACACAGACAAGGAGGAACAACAACATTGAAAAGTGTCCTTGATCAGAGTGCACTGGATGTTTTCTGTCACTGTGTTGCAACAAAAGGAAGAAGCCAACAGTGTGGGGCTGCTGTGGGTGGGACTTTGTGCCAATGTGGGTGACTGACTGTTTCCTGTCACAGGAAGTGAGTCAGTGTGCCATTCATTATGTTATAGGTCCATGAGTGGGGAAGAGGTCTTTTTATTGCGGAAACTGGAAAGAAGTTAAATGTGGTTTAACAAAACGGAATGAAGAGATCTAATGATGCAACCAGAACTACTTAATTAAACATGTCATCGTTAAAGGGAGAGAAATTACAAATGAAATATTTTTGTAATATTTTTTACAAAAGTTAAAACGAGTCAAAGTTTTATCTTGAACTATTCAATAAGACACAAACCTAAAGAACATTGGCTAAATACATGAACGTAACAAGGTCAAAAGGTTTCAGATCTTATTCTGTGTCACTGTATCCATTCATTCACAGTCACTGCTAACAGCATCAGTTTTAGTGAGTTCCACTGTATTATAGGCTCTTCTTTTTGGTGACATTTTATTTGTGTTCTTCTTTATAGTTTTTATGGCTTTACAAAAGCCTTTTATGTTTAGGTTTAGTTGTGTAATCGTATAAGGGGCGAAGTTGTCACGAGTGTAGACAGTGCCCTCATGTGGCCATATATGCTGTTGGGTATGCTTTCAAGAAATTACTTGCTTTGGAATATAAGTTGCAGGATCTGCAAAACTACTAAAAGGACATTCTGCAATTTTTTTTGGAATGTGGCTACTGTGATAACTGTTGAATTTAAAGTTTTTAGTGGTTTTCATTGTGATTTAGTGAGTTTGTTTCTTGGTGTTTGTTGTGTACAATAAACAAAGTAGATATAAAATAAAGTAGATCTGTCTTCATATTTTATTGAGGGAAAACCAACATCAAATATCAGCACCAGTCAACAGCAACTGTCTGTAAATAATACATACCTGTGTTGACCATACCGGCCTGGTTGGCCATCATGCCGTGACTTCCCACCATGCTCTGCTGCTGCTGCTGCATAAGGTATGGACCTGTGGCCCTTATTGGATACTGCAGTGGAGGCTGCTGCTGTGGGGACACATTCATATCCAGAGACACACTCCTCACGGGCAGACCCCTGCCGGGCTGACTTGGTCGAACACCACCAAAGTCTGAAAATAAGGGTACATTTGTTTTAGCTGAAATACACGACAGGTGTTAAGACATTAAATCATTTTAAATTCACAGAATAATAATGGTTTTCCTCAATAAGTTGGAGGGTTGGAGGATTTGTGGACTGAGAAAAGTCAAAACCGAAATGTGTTGCTTTCTTTTTTTTTTTCAATACGAGACTTACTGGTTGGGCCGATTCCTGCAGCCATGTTCCTGTGTTGCTGTTGTGCCACCAAGGCAGGGCTGGTATCAGACATCTGCAGTATGTCATTGATGATATTCTGTTTGTCCATGGGACTGGGCAGTGAAACAGGCCTCGGCTCACAGAAGAGCTGTGACTGTGCATTCTGCAGGTCGTTTAGGATGTCATCCAGCTCTGACGACTGCAGGATAAAAGAGACAGAGAGAAAGAAAAATTAGACTTAAGTCGTCCATTTAGAAAACCAATTGCTGCTCCACCTGCAGACAGGCTCAGAAAATTATACATGTGATGGAGGCACACGTGCCGAGAGCAAAATGGATGTGTAAACACTCACAGGAGGAGTCTGGCTTTGGCCTTGTTTATAAAAACAGCCATAACCCCTGAAATAAAATGGACCATTTCCAATCAAATCTAGGCCAGTCTTCACATTAATGTAGACCGACACACAATTACTACTTATCACCTGGTGTTGATGAAGAAAAGAAAAAAAGATACACACTACAGCTACTCCTCTTTTTATAGCAAGCAATTTCAAATCACTTCATTAAGGATGTCATATTAGAGGGATTTATTTTCCACTTAAGTGTGGGAAAGAATAAACCGAATAAACACTTTCACCGAGGTCGGGTTCTGCTCAGCTACATGAGAGTTTGACTGTTGCAAAAGACTTAACTGTTCCCTGCCCCCTACTGTAAACAGCTGGGCCAATAAAGCTCGAGGCTAGATTATTCTGCAGCTGGGCTTTGGACTATCTGGACTGTTTGTCTTTGAGTTTCTACACAATCAAACTGAACGGAGACAAAGTCAAAATGTGTTCGTGAACTGTTGTGTTTATGTGGTACACCGGCTTCACTGCGTTTGTCTCCCCTTCAGCTAAGCATTGTGGGTGGATGAAATAACAGGAACAAGTGAAAGATGTTATCAAAAGCAGCATTTCCACAAGCAAACATCTCAGAAAAAATCACAAAGCTGATAGAAAAAAAAGGAGGGAAAAACTCTCTTTCAACTGAGCAAACATTATGTTTACAAAGGGCTGAACAGTATCAGGGTATTGATTTTCATTTAAATGACAGCGGAAAGTAGGTCACTGTCAATATTAAACGGAAACTGCAACAGAGTTGATTGTGCTTCCTGGAGAGGCCCGAGGGACTTGAGGTAAATAAGGTGCAGTGTTCGGGACTGGCCGCTAGAGTGCAGCACAGCTGGAATTACTGACTTGCTGATTGTAACAATACTGTACAAAAAGGGAAAAAAAGGAAGAGCAGCTACAGTTTGTGTTGCACTTCTTTGTTCAATGTATCCAGACAATGAAAATCATTTTTTAATGCACGGGGCTAGAAATTGTATTTAATTTAAAACAGCAGCCCCGCAAAGACCACATGAACAGAAGACCACCAGTCTTGGCCACATTGACAATCATACAGCATTATTTGTTGTAATTTCTTTCCATCAATTTCACAAGATCCTCTCAAAAAAAAAACTGTCTCCGTGTTTACTGAAGCAAACAATGTTGGATGATTCCATACAGCAGAGGATGATAGACGAGGTATCAGTAAGAGCTGGAGAGAGCAGCAGAGTGATGGGGAGTTGTAGTGGTGGTGATGGTGGGAGAGAGAAAAGCCCTAATGAGGTCAGGAATGATGTAATGCCTCCGTACGTCAGTTTGCTCTCTTCCTCCTTCACTTCCATTCTCTCTCCTCCCACTTTCTATTCTGTCTCCCCTCTCTCTCTCTAGATCTCTTGTTGCTTTTACCCTTAATGGCTCCTGTAGTTATCAAGCCTGGCTACTGTCTGCTTTCAAAGCATGTATGCATGCAAGGCAATCAATGCGTGGTCTCTGATGTGTAATCTAAAGCCTGAAAAACTGCATTTTGACTAGACAAAGACAAATAAGCTTCATTTGTAGCTCACCATATTATAACTTGACATATAGTAACAAAAAAAGAATATTTAATATATGAGAGAAATCTCCGTGAGCAGGAAAAGGAATTTAAATATTGTGAAAACATTTTAAAGCAAATTAGGAGTGAAATTGGTAAGACACATTGGTAGGTCACTTAAGTCCAGGACTGTGAGCGTGAACCACCAAAAAAAAAAAAGTCTGAAGGACTGAACCTGCAAGAACTGAATGTTGGTGGAGTTTGGTCAACGAGGTTCTCTTGTCCCTGACAAGGAGAAGACAAACTCAAGACATTTTGTGAACAGGAAATGTGATTTTAAAAAATGATCAAGTAGCCAAACTGATGATGTCATTATCTTAGCTAAAAAAAAGCCCATCAAAAGCTGTGGAGTATATTAAAGACTAGAACAAGATATATAACAAAAGACAATCACATCTAGAAAAGCTTTAGAGATGCATCATAGAAGAATGGGCCATGACAAATCAGGAGATTTTTATTAATGATGTCAAAACTATTACGCAAAAAGGTAATTTTTTATTTGAACATCCTGAACAAATCTAGACTGCTTCCTTGTATGGCAGCAACAAAATAAAAAAAATCATTATTTTCAAGGAAATTTTGTCCTGGATTCTCAATACCTTGTGATTGGTACAAATAAAACTACTCATCTAAACTTGTGTCGAACACAGTAACCTTAGTAATAACCATTCTGAGTCCAACAAAAGGTGACTCACAGTAGCCTGCTGACTGATGAATAACAGTCGTGGCCTCTACTGCAGCAGCATAGTAATGAGGCGTGGCCAAAATTTCCAAATTCAATTTGACATGTGTCCATGTGGAATTTAGCTTTAACGCTCTTCACATCTGTAACTGAGCAGGTTAGTCTTTCTCTGACCTGATGTCAACAAAGGCGACAGGGCAACAGCACCTGACCTGGTCCCTGTTATTGCACAGAAAAGGGAAGTAAAAACTACGGGTAAAGCAGAAGTGAGGCAAAAGAAAAAGTTATTTCACACCACAAATGTTTTGGAAAATTGTGCCCATACCAAAAGAAAAACTGCAAATGCTTATGTAACAAGTTTGGCTGCAACTTTACTCTAATAGTAGAATTTACATGTTTGTCATTTACAAAAAAACATTCAAGTAAGAGTTTTGCGTTTGAGGTGGTGTCAAGATAGTTTTTCTGAGAATGTTTGGTAAAGTTTTTATCTTTTAATTCTAACTAACCTGTCTTTCATACATAATTACAGGCATGTTTTTTAAGCTCTTTGTGTTCTGAGACTGAAATTTGGACAGGACAGGACAGTTAACACCTATGATAATCAAGAGGATACATGATTTAGTAAGAGATACACATTTAAGGCACAACAGATTGTGTTTAATTATCTTATTCATATTAATGACCCTTTCTGGAATATTAGGTGTATTTCTTATACAAATATTGAGTTGAAACAACATAGACTATTGCTTAATTAAACAGATTTGACCAATGAGAGCTAATTCTATGTCAGGTTTTAAAGAATAAACCAAGCTAATTTAAATAGTTGACTAAATTATTAAGAGCAAAAATATTGAAATAACTCCAGCGGGACTCCAAGGACAATGTGCTTGTAAGACAATGTTTGCAAGTAGCTAGGGGAAATGAACAAACACGTAGAACTCAGCCGCTTGCACATAAACCCGTGGGACTAGTCAACCATACCTATAGTTCCATCAGCTCAAGCCACTGCTGCTGCTCCCTGCCCTGATTTCTCATTTAGCTCTGCTCCAGCCATCAATAATTCAGTCCTCAAACAATCATGAGGACAGAGGCAGAGAGACAGAGCAAGTAAACAGTGAGTGAGGAGAAGAAAGGGAGGACTTTAACTACTACTGTACCATTCTACAAATATCATGTTAACACAGAAACTCCTTAATAAAGAATACAAAATAACCAAACCACAGCATCTTCATGGCTAAGAAACATTATAACATTCTGTTAGGAAGAAATCTCTTTAAAAAATTAGTCAACATTTTAATGCATCTGGACTTTATTCACCAAGCAGATGCAAAGTTCATTAACGTTAATTAGAAATGTCATAAATTGCCAGCAAAGCCATTCCACAGCCAGACAACATTATTGGGGTGGACCATTTTTTCATTTAATTCTTATTCCCTCCTATTGTTTTTTTTTTCTGCATGTTGCTTGCTCTACAAACACCACTCCCACTCCCTCATCTCCATGGCAGCAGAGAGGACATGCAAGAGCATATGGCTCATCATTTTCACTCTGCCTGCCGAGGCTGGGCTCTCCTGGGGGTATCTACACCTCTCTCTTCTCTCTTTCTTTGTTCACTTCAACAGCAGCTCTTATTATCCATCCAATCACATTTTCACTCTTACCATCGCACTGTGTGTATATGCATATGTATATACACGCATATATATATATACACACCTCTAGGAAGACAGTAACTGTGCTTAAAATCCAATTTCAATCTTTGAGATTGAGACATTTAAAGACGTTTCAGCTTGGACCTTTGTTTGTAGTTGGTTTACAGATTTTCTTCACTTCGGCTTCCTGGGGACAGTTTTTTTTCTTCCCAGTTTAAGAGCACTATAAGAGTGTGTGTTTTGTGAAGAACATACAGAGGTTTCCTGTACGGTATTTAAGGTTGAGATTCACTAAACATTTTTCTGCACCAGACACTCGACAGAATCCTCGACAGTGAATCCTCTACTTCAGAAGAACCGGTGAGCTTCAACAGCAACACTCTTCATGCTCACTCCTTTACACTTTTCTCCTTCTCTACTCTTTTTCAGTGCCAGCTCTGACCTGAGTTCAGAGCCAAACTCGAGGCTTCGGGCCAAACGCAAACAGGATCAAATGGCTAGAGAACCGCAGGGGCTCCTTCCAAATGTCACAGTTGTTTGAAGATGGCGGACAGCTTCCCTTAGCCCGTGCCGCTGTCAAATAAAGTGTCAAAGTACTAGATGTGTTTATTTTATGTGCAAGGAAACCATGTGTGATGTCTTAAGTGTATCAGCTCCAAGTCGATCTAGGTGTCTGGAATGCTGCTAGGGGTTTAGACACATCATGTGTGAATCTGAGATTTTTAGAAACTAACACCTTCTACCAAACTCAGATAAAATATGAGGGAAATGTCTAACTCTGTGTATTGGCCTGAAGCGTTTAGTTTGCATGTCAAAGTGGCCATGGACTCTGAACCCCAAACAGACACTGATGGCACAGCAGTCAGTGTATGAGTGATATGGAACTGTGTGTTTTGTGTTTAGACCTAGTCTAGAAAAAGTCTATACAACTTCAGTCGATTGTCTTTTTAGAGAATAACTCAGGAGGATGACTCTCACACTTTTAACTCCATCATTTCACAGAACACAGTAATACAGAAGACAATTTTCCAACAAGAAAGAAGCAAAGGTTCATTTTAAGATACACCCAGAGGGAATATAGAAAACTGACCTGCTCAGCTCGGTCATATCCTGCGTCTTGTTTCTCTGCCTTCACAAGGGTGGTTTTACCAATTTCAACCTTATCCTCCCCAGGCTCCAATTTAGGGACCTTGTCCTTCAGTACAGTGTCATCCTTATCCAGTAGGTAACGTAAAAGGGCATTGTCCTTCTTCTTTGGGCTCAAGGGCTCCTGCTTTGGAGTAATTTCTGCCCCCGAAGCTGTACAACCAGCGCCGGGGGTTTGGTCCTGGACCAACTCCTTGCCTGTGGCTTCTGCAGTGATTTTGGCCAGGTGTCCTGGAGACGTGCTGTTCTGAAGCAGTTGGTGAAGAATTTTATGTTTCTCTTTGAGGGATGTGGCGTGAGTGTTTCCTCCAGTGTGGCCACCTCTGACCCCTGTCCCAGCCTGGTCTTTGGCCTCACCGGGGGACAGCGGTGTCTCCAGTGGTTCTGGCTTGGTTGTGAGCAGCTGTAACAGCTTGGTGTGGCCTTTGTTGTCGTGGAGACGGCTTTGAGTGTCCAGACCATCAGGGGGCCCGTCCTTCTCCTCCTTGGGCTCCACCAGGTTGCCCTCTGTCTGAACCTGTGTTTGCCCCTGCCCCATTTCAGCGTGAGGGCCAAAAGAGTCCCCTGTACCCCCAGCAGGTCCACTGCTACCTCCTGATTTTGACATCAGATGGGAGTTAACCCCTGACCCAGGTGCCACTCCTACAGGGGAACCTAGTTTCCGGTCTGGTGACCCCAGCGTATGTGCATGAGGAGGCCCGTGTCCGTGTCCCACACCGTGGCACTCACTCAGTGCCTGCAGAGCAGACAGAGAACTGCTAGTGTAGCTGTTGGCATGTCCACTTGTGGTGCTGCTACCACTTGCTCCTCCAGGTCCTCCACCACACATCCCCACAGGAGACGGTGAGTGTAGGCCTCCTGCTACACGAGGGCTACCTGCACCACCTGGACTCCCTCTGTGTCTAGGCGACAACATAGAGTTCTGCTGAGGTGGATGTGGCCCTCCAGCTGGACTGGGGCTGGCACGAGAGGGGCTATTTAATCTCCAGTTTGGGCCCTGTTGAGGCGGCTGCATGCCCCCAGTGTGGTTGTGAGGTGGCGGGCAGCCAAAGCGGTAGCCCTGCATATGGCTCATGGCTGCCGGTTCTCTTGGGCCAGCGGGGCCTGGAGAGGAAAAAGGCGTACTGTTGCTGCTGATGGTGGTGTCTTGGCCCTGAGGCCCAGATGAACCTGGCAAACTTCCTGGGGTCGGAGGAGTCATGGAGGGAGTGGAGGAGTTCATGGGTTTTGGGGCCATCCCTGTGGCTTGAGTGCCCGGTCCCATATCCTGACCCATTCCGCATACAGTCTGCTCCCTAGATTTGATAACAGATAATAGTTCTCATTAACATAATTCTTAAATTTAACTAAAAAAGACCAACTTCTAGAATGTTACCTTAATATAGTTTCTGTACTACTTCAACTGGTGAAATCTTCCTTATTTTAAATATATTTGTGTCTAACAAATAGAACATAGACTGTCAATCCTCTGCTTCATGAATGAATGTTGGAGTAAATAACTAAACCACACATCATTGTTTTGGCATTTGTCATGAGCGTATTCACTTTTCTGAAAAATGTGTTTGCTTGTTCAAAAACTAGAGGGAATCAATGCAGTCATTCTGATTATTTCAGTTTTGAGACCAAGGACAATGGCAGGACTGACTTTTCTGCATATTACTCTATATACACACTCAAGCTGTGCTGGAGGCTCTCAAACAGGCTAAAACATGTTGACAAGTTCACACTGCAGATTAGTCTCTGGTTCTGACACAGGTGTAGTTTAAGGAAGACATACCTCTGAAGAATGTGTAGCGACATGTAAAGCTGGGGTTCGTTGGTAGCGGGTGAGCGCAGAAGTTTGCTCTTGGTGTGGGCTGAAACTATGGTTCCGTCTGAGAGGGAGAACCGATAGATGGGGCTGAACGCGTGGCCATGGCGAAGCACTGCGGACACACAATAAATCAGCAGATGCCCACACGAGACATTTTTACTTTGATGACTAATTAGTACATGTGTAGTAAACTGTGTTTAGTTTCTTGGCTGTAACTACAGTACGAATAGTGATTGGACGTAGGATCACAAAGATATAACCTACAATTTCTTTAACAACTTTGGTCAGAATGGAACTGTGATTAAATGTCCATTATACAGCAGTGCTTGTGCAGTGGCCAGACATTCCAATCCAAGAAGCTATTAGCAGGAGCCGGGAATCAAACAGTCAGTTGCTGCTGTTGACTCTATTACCTTCCTGTTGATGCCTCTTGGCAAAAGACATCTCGCCATCGTTCTGTAGGTGGAACCTCTGAATGCAGCGCCTCACCAGATCTTCCCAGCCTGGTTTCATAGATGCACGCAGCAGACTGGTATCCAGGGATGTAATCTTACCTAAACACAGAAGACTGGAATGATTTGGCCTGCAGGGACACAAGCATTTCTTGTCTACATGTCTACATCATGTGAGCTGACTAGGATTGAAGCACTAAGAATTAACTATAGTACAGAGAAGAACATTTAGACCAGAGGCTGTGAGGGAAATTTTATGCCGTGTACATTCCCGTCTATAAAAGATTAGACAGGAAGTACAGTTACTGTCAGTACAGCTTAAGTTAGAACAGCATTTAGACACTTGCAACAACATGTAGAAGCATTAAATTAAAAAAAAAAAAAAACATTGACAGGGCAGCTTTGGCTCATCTATTTTTAGACTTCAAGTATACCACAGATACCTGACTAAACACACAGGCACACTCAAACGTAGCAGTGTGAGAACTGGCACCTACTGGATGGCAATTTACATAAAGGGCAGTGATGCATTTAGAGGCTTGACAAGCCTGTCTGCTGCATGACTGACAGTTTTAAAGACTAAGTGACTGAGGAGTTATCACACAAACCATTAGCTAGTATTTTCAAACAGGAAAAAAAACTCTACGTTCTTAAAGTAACAATTTGATCAAATCCACACTCTCAAGCTTGCCTTGTAACAATTACAACATAAAATTGTACACACACACACACACACACACACAAAGTATGAGCTACCAACAAAAGTATGGGTGTGTAGCTGTACAAAGTGAGTAACTCTGAGAGAACGTGACTCTGTGTGTGTGGTGCCCCTGGAATTGGCTCACTGACAGATACAAGAGTACAATCACATCAAAGAGGAGGTGAAACACAGACACACATCTTCCTCCGAGTTCAGACAGATACCTTACCTCCCACCACGTAGACAGAGGCGGGTAATAAGTTCAGATAAACACATTCAGAAACTTTGCTGAGGAAATAATAATCTTTAAATGACCTAACCTGGAATCTTGGGTGATCTATAGAGCAGTGACATGACATTGTGCATTAGGGTGGTGTTTCATATAGGAATATGTTGCTTTTGGCAATGCTGTTTTTGTTACCTAAAATAGAGTTGTGAATCGTTTGAAATGTAATAAATCACATAAAAGTCTGCCAAACGTTTCTGGTTCTTTTAAGTGCTGTTTTTCCATTCATATATGTTAAAACAAGAAGGAGCTATCGAACATTTTGTTAACATGTTACATTTTCTATGCAAAGTACATCTTATACCATCTTATAAAATTTCAGAAAAAAATGAGCCATGTGTTCTCTCCTTCAGGTTAATCTGCAGAAATAATTTCTTCTAACTTTTGGTGCTGCCTGCTGAGTATGTCAAGTAAAGGATTTCTTCACCTAATTTTATCAGAGGTTTCTACTTTATCTGAAAAGCAGTAGGTAAAATATAAACAAAATAAACTATTTTTAAAATTCAAGTAAAGGATTTCATATATATAAACAAAATAAACTATTTTTAAAAACACAATCAGACATTATATGATATTTATGTATTTCTTCTATATGAGTTTGTAGTTTAAAAAACTGGCATCATGTTGGAGGGGAACTTTGTGCTTGACATCATATAATCATTAGGACAACGTCCACTGACATCATAAATCAACAGAGAAGTAGCTGTATTTAGACAGACTTTTATAGAAACAGTTACTTCAGCAAAGCCCTCGTGGGGATTCACCGAGGGCAATGGGTGGCACTTCTCACACAGGATCTATGGCTTCATTTTTATTCTGCCTGTACAGTGGATCTTCAGCTACATTTATTCTCCCTATACATTGGTTTGTCACAAAACACATCACCTCGATATACCAGAGGTTCTGACAGATACATCAAATGACCTTGACCCTTCCTTGTCCACATATTTTCTTATGCTTATAAAAAGAAAAAATGTCAGTGACCCGGGGAACTTTAAGTTCAACCTCATCTCATTTGCAGATCATGACAGTATTGGTTCAGTGCGTGTGTGTACCTTGCAGGTCCTGGCGTGTGGTGAAGCTCTCATGCGTGGGCAACATGGGTCTTTCCTTCATGGGCACCCTGCGAGCCACACAGATCAGGCACGACTGAAAGTCTACCACAATTAAAAAGGAAGAAGAGGAGGAGGAGGATAATGTGCAAGGAAAAGAAAGGATGATGTGGAGGTTGTAACAAAGAGGACAGGACAGGGACATAAGGAAAGAAGGGGGATGGTAGAGAAGTGGAGGAGGGGGTGTAAATGATAGAGACAGAGGGAGGGAAAGAAAATGAAATGCACATTATTTCCAGGCAGCATAATTAATACAGTTATTAATGAGCAAGGGGATCAGAGCCCCGCTCCTTTCATGAGGAGGAGCAGCTATTGCCGGCGAGGGAAATGATGAAGTGTGACCTTTGAAGGTGTGTGCGAGTGTGTAGCGCGAGGACGTGTGCTCACGTGTGTGTGTGTCGTGCCGCTCTTATCTAAAGTGCCATCTCACTATAAAGACACTTCTCCATGGCCTAACATTAGAAAACACCATTGGATGGCCATCGCTCAAATTACAACAGCTACATCTAAAACACACCACACACAGGGCAACTCCAAGTCTGTGACCCCAAAAAGTCTGCCATTTAAAATTCTAGTGCCAGGTCTACCCACAATCCCACAAATGTTTTGGCTAAAGACTTCCTGCCAGTGCTGAACAAGCACAAACAGCTTTGACTGGTAGGTGGTCTGACCAAAAAAAAACAACAAAAAAAATGTATTGATTTATGATTCTTTCTAATTCTACTTCTTTCCCTTCCTTTTCTTTTAACACACACAGAAACTGGATCAAAGCTGGACCAGCAGTAAACTGACAATTTATTCATTATTATTTAAAGTACATTCAGATGTCTGAGAGTTTGAGTGTCAAGTAGCGCTTAACGTTTGTTAAAATGCACAAAACGTTTTGTACATTTTTGTATGACAGAGCACTGAAGGGAGTCACACATGACGTCACGCAAGTTTAACTACAGGATCTCAAGTTCCTCTGTAGCCAGACAAAACCACTGGAAAAGCCCAGTGACCTTTGAGTGACTGAAAGTGAGAGGAGATCACAGACAACATACAATTTAAATCATTTTGTCAGAGAAGCCAGTACACGTTTAAACATGGTCCACCACGGGAGCAGCTTCTTTCCTTTTTTCCCCACCTTGTCTGCATTTCTTTACTGTTGTGTTTAAACAAACAGATATTTTTAAAAACTTAGCTTACTGTTGCAAGTGTAGAACATTAAAATCCCACCCATCCCAGTGACTCGTGACAGCTGCTTTGTATGGATTGTAAAATGAATTATAAATAGAGCTTAATGACATAGGCCCAGCCTCTCATCTTCATCCTGTCACTAATTATTCTTCATGGATTCACAGATGTGTGTGTATTGTTCTGCTGGGATGCTGCCTCCTGTCAGTATCTTCTCTTTTCTTACCCAAAATGTTATTTTTTTATAAGACAAAATTTAAACTAGAATCTCCACATTCCTGTTGAGACCCCAGGACTCTTTCAGTTTAGGACAACACTTTCTTAAACAATTTTTTTTTGTTCTTTTCATACCATCTCCTTCCTCTTTGATGGACTTGGGCTCAGAAACAGCAAAACACTGCATGGTCTCATATTTCTGCTGCTGTGGCTCATGCTCATGCTGCTCATCTTGGTTCTCGCCGTGGGGATTGACCAGCATCCGGCAGTTGAATGTGTGACTGTTTCTCCTCGGACCATCATTGGACCACGGCACACCGTTCACTGCAGGAGAGGCACAAAAAAAAAGAAAAAAAAGATTTAAACTGTAGCTTGACAAAGAGCCAAAATTGAATAATAATAATAATAATAGCAACAAATAAAGTAAGATGCAGAGAATGCAAGTGTAAAAGACAACACAATGCAGTTGATCTCAGCGATTAATCAAGTCCAAACCCACAGGCCAGTATTCACAGTTTCAATTCAAAACAAAACTTAATTATGCTGTTAAACTAATCTTCCTAACTCCAAAGTTTACACAGTCACCAGCAAACAAAAAAACATGTCCAATAAAACCTGTACATACAAACACACGCATACAAAATGTGCTAATGAGAGACTTGTAAAGTGACACACAACACATTTCACTCAAGCAAACTCTCATCACACTCCATCTGCTTCGTGATCTCATTCTTCGCATTGATAATGTCCCTGTATCTGGGACACAGCCCACTGATCATTTCTAGGGTACTCTGCTTTGTGCTTCTCTGCCACCCAGATGGTCAAAAACTTGAACCCAGATCTGAAGCGTCAGGAGACGAGAGGAATCAGAGAAAAGACTTACAAAGAGCCACTGAGTGGCACAGTTTGAGAAGGTGTTAAAAAAAATTGGAATTTTTTTTATGGGTTCAATATAGATGAGAAAAAAAGGCAAGGGTCAATATGTACAGCACAAAGATGTAAAGAATAAATAACGATAAAGTATAGACATTTGCTTTTTTGGAAGGAGGACTGGGTAATAGAAAAGAGAGAAAATGATAATGGTTGGTGAGGGTGTGTGGCAGAGAGACTTTAGAGAATATCACACAGCAAGGGGAAGGAGAAAGGATGGGCCCAGGATGAAAATATAGGGAGCAGTACTGCTGACAAGGGAGTGAAGCTGAAAAAGGAAGTTAATTAGTGGAAGAGAGAGGGAGGGAGGGAGGAGAGAAGAGAAAGGGCAAGTGTCTGAGATGAGCATCAGCAAAACAGAGAATTAAAAACCTACTACTGTACTTTTTAAGCCCACTGGGACCCCAGCATGTGGGATCCAGCCTTTCTACATCCCTATAAGGAAGTTAACCGTAAACGTATTAGCTGTTTTAATTAAACAGACGTCACTAACAGCATACTGTCAGCACACTGGGTAATGAGGAAACCACAGGGTGAAAACAGATGAGAGAAATCCTGAAAAAGACGAAGGCAGAGTGTGAATGAGAACAGAGGTGTCAGTGACGCAAGACACAGAGACACAGAGAAAAGACAGGGATGTCAAATTCAGCGAAATTGTGACGAGGCATTGCTGACAGTGATGGCTAGGAAGAGTCGGGGAGAAAATAAGAAAAACCACATAGAGGCTAACCGAGGGATTTGGGCAGCAGGTTCTTGATGAACTCGGCGTGGTCACCAACATGTAGCACGCTGTAGACACTGGTGTTCATCAGCTCCTCTTGATTGTAGCGAAGGTACTGGGTCACATTCTCAGAGACGAACACAATGTTACCCTCCATGTTCACCACAAAGAAGAAGCCATCCAGGGCCTGGGGGTCAGAACAGACACATATGATTTACTACGGTTTTCACATTGATATGGAATAAATATATGTAGGTCAAACAACAGGCAAACAGGCAAGAAAGAGTGAAAAACATTTGAATACGCTTTAACGGAACAGTAAAACACTGAGGTTCTTTTACGTTGCTGGATTAAAAATTAACATTGAGTACTTTTAAAAGAACATTATAAAGTATAAGAAAAAATCTGCTGAAAGGCAGTCACTTATTGTGGCACACCATCAAAAGCCATTTCTTTCCAACAGAGTTATCGTGGGAAACTTCATGTCAAATGTACCTTAAATTTAAAATGTCTCCTTTTAGTTTTTAAAGATTATGTTTTTGTGAAATACAAGTTTTTAAATTATATCTCTTTCAGGCTTTCCAGATATCATGGAATATCGGAGGCAAACACAGCTTCCCTAGCTTATTAGCACACTATGAGCTGAAAATAAACTTAAAAAGATCTCATCTATCACTGCGCTGGGTGCAAGAGTTCCAAAATGCAACATGGTGGTGTAAGTCAACTGTGTGTGAAAAGGAGCCACTGGACAAGTAGGGCAAATAGAAACCGAGCTAATGCTCTCTATTACCAGCTCTAACTTGTTACTGGCTCGTAGCATTCAACATAATCACAATACCCTGGTTAAATATGCAACAGAGATGAATACAGTCCTTATAAATGAATATACACTGAATATATATACAACCAGCCCCTATGCTCTTTGTGCACCTGTTTCAATTTGCACCCAGTCTATTCTCTTGATGTACGACTCTGTGAGTCTCATCTTCTGGGTGTAATAAAAATGCAGCTCGTGAATTGGTTAAGGGATTAGAGGGTCTCTGCTCTTCTGCTCTCCACTATTTTTGCTAAAGATGATGTATTTTTTAGCATGACAATGCATTACTTTGCTAAAACAAGTCTTAATTGGTCTCTGGCAGAACCTGGAATAGAAGCAAAAAACTTTGTTGGCACTGACCTAAATGTGTGGATAAAGAACCTTGTCTAGAAAAGTCTAGAATAATGCACAGTGTTTCCTATCAAAAATGATTCCAGATCGATTCATCTTCTGATTGCTTGGTCTTCTGTTGGTTAGTTAGTTAGCTTCCTCACAAAACTAGGTCGCTTGTGTCAGCCAAGGCATGCCCAACTTTTACATACCACATGTATTTGTCTGAAAAATGGGGTGCAAGGCTTTTTCTGTTATTTTATGTCTAAAGGACATTTATTTCATATCAATTATTTGATAAGAACCATAATAATAGAGAACAGTTCAAACAAGTAACTTCTTTTTTTCCCTTCCTTGTCCAACAAATTGAGCACCTTTGACATTCTTTTTTTATTTACAATCCTGTAAATGTAACTGTTAGGGAAGCTGTATCTCAACAGACATTTCCTTTTTTCAGTTTTGTGGAATTCATAGATCAAATGATTAATTGGTTAATTAATTATTAAAATGATTGTGAGCTCCTTTTCTACTTAGGAAACCAGTATGGAGGGTGAGAAGTTTTTACAGGAATATATGCATTACATTATTATGTGAACAGGTACATATTTTTACACAATCCTGTCTCTATTTGCATTGAGCAAGTAGAATTAATTTACGCCAAGTTATGTCTGCAATACTGCACTCCTTTTTTCCCCATTTTTTTAATGTAAGACACAAATTATTCCTCTTGTTTATGGCATTATCTGACTCAAATGTCTGAATAAAAAAAAAATCAGTGGCACCTCTCCAAGCCTCAAAATGTCCATACTCATACATGTCCTTCGATATCATTACACAGAGCAGCCAACACAGGCAGCAATCTCACAGGAATGCAAACTATACTGTCAGAGTCATGTGACAAGAACAAGGCTCACTCCCAGAAGGTTGAAACAACAGAGGACTAATGTTTTTTCATAGCCTTGTTCATTTGGCTGTGTAAGTGGCCGGCGAGGAGCCTTGAAGGAGGGTCATAGGTCACATGGGTGCGTTTGCCGCTGACAGCCATTCTCTTCAGACCATCCAGTAATGAGCCCTAACTGTGGATGGGAACATGACTACAGAGAAGCATGTGTGAATGGCTGAACGCTGTGTTTTGGGGGCTGCTGACAGATGGGAAAGCACGCAGGCAGTGATGGGCTATATTTAGCTCGATGTTAGCATGTCGATTCAGTGACGCTGGACCAGGAGTGCTATAAATAATCCATGACAGGACAGATCTAGAGGCGGTGACGAGGAGGGTGAAGGAAAAGGGAGGGAGAGAAATGAGATGTGAAAAAGCAAGGAAGAAAAAAGGAGGGAGGAAGTGAGTGAGAGGACAGGCTCAATGGACTGATTCATTCGCCAGGCTGTTGCTTTCTTCCCATTATACATAGCCACTTCAGTGGCCCTCCGTGGGACAACGAGGCCATTGCTGCACTTCACTGATTTACAGCCAATTTGGGGCAGACACAAGAAGCTGGCAGCTTTTAATCCGCAGCTAGCCTCGTGCGCCGCCACTTCTGGCAACGTTTGTGATTGTTCTCCGAGGATGGCACTTTTCATTATGTACCAATCACGGTTTAATGAGCGGTGTATATCCAGTGTGAGTGTTTAGTGTGAGCGCTCGGCACTGCTATGACAAGATTAGGAAAGACAGGGCCCTTAACCCACCTCCAGCATCATTGGTCCCAAGGCATCTTTGTCAATCACACTTTGGCCTGTCGACGAAACATCTGCCTTCTGTACCTCCTCCTCGTTTGCTGCTGCAGCTTTTTCTGTGAAAGAGTGGTCAATGATTAATATTGATAAATATAATTCAAATTTCACTGGTTCAAAGTCATGTAGAGCTTTTATAAGTTTGACAGTAGATTTATTTTCATGTTACAAAAACAAGGATGCCAAAGAAAGAAAGGGAACAGACGCATTTGTTAAGGACTGTACCCACATTGAGACTGCCATGGCTCAGTCCCAAGTGCAGAGCAGTGAGCTAAGTGAAAGGTTATTGTAAATGACTGTGTAAAAGCATGCAGCTGCCACACTGGTGGCAGCCACGGGATGGATTGCATTGTCATGTACAGAAAAGACTGTTACAGAAACAGTGACAACATGTTAACAACTCCCATTGTAAACACCGTAGCAGCTTCAAGCTTAAGCTGAAAACTTTGTTGAAGAGTAGAAGTAGAATTAGTAGAATTAAAACTGTTGCTTTATATTATACAGATGTTAAGTATTAGTCAAGGACAATCGTGTACAGTACACACACGTATGTATGTATATATATATATATATATATAAACTGTGTCCTTACTTGTTGCACATATAAATAAAATCTATAAATAATGTTGTTGTTGTTGTTGTTATTTATGTTAATTGGATACCTCAGAACCAAGGGCAGACAGAATTTGTGCTAGTTTGTAAGTAATTTTAAGTTGTAAGCTCCTCTACCTGCACTTTGTCTCAGTGCATTTGTCCTGGTGAGTGATTGGGTTAATAACCGTGCAGAGAAGCCTTATGTTCAGAGTGTAGGCTGCCCTACTTTTAGAGATGATGTTAAGAGGCGGAATATAAGTGGGCTGCTGGGGGACACATTTAACCGCCTCACCATGCCAAGAAGAAGGCTGGCCATATGGTACAAAAACTGTGACAGGAGAAAAAAAAAATCAAAAATCACGTCCTTTCTTCTTTCCTCTAGAGTTTGTGTGTGTGTGTGTGTGTGTGTGTGTTTGTGTGGATGTGCGAAAGCTGACACATATGCAGGTTTTGGCCCTTCTCCGTGGGCTCATGCAACAGCCCTACGGACCAACATTCATCTTTTTCAGCATTAATGATGTGTGCATCAGCAGGACCTCTCCAGGCCCAGCGGGGCCCAGTATACCAGCACAGCTGCCCTGGGTACAGACCCATCACTCACTGTCAGTGCAGCCTTTAAAGACTTTGTCCGTGTGCAGAAGAGTGCCACAGATGGAGGGAGAAGCAACTTGTAGCAGCGGCATCTTAATAAATGCATTAATAATGTCATAATTTTTAACTAGCGAATTATTGATTTGGTCCCCTCTCGGTTAAAAATAGACAAAGTGTATCTAAGCAATTCAAACATAAGTGTAATGAATTAAAATAAAAAATACGGAACAACTTGCTGGCTGCTTCTCAGCAGCTTCTACATCTCTGGCCAATAAGCGATTGGTTTTACTGTGTTGGCAGGAGTGAGAAGCACAGCAGTGTAAGGGGAAGCAGTAAAACACTGGGCTATGCCATTATTTTATAGGCTCTGGGAAGAGGTCATTATTCAACATGTTTTCTGTGTAGATGCAACACATGGAAACAGAAAACGTGGGCTCATACTTCATTAAGTTACCAGTAGAAAGAAGAAAAAATGTGGACACTTCAAAAGGGTTTGATAAGAAGCCAGTTGCCACCATTGCTACACAGCCCTTTTCTGCAGGTCTGTGACACCAATCAGTGAGAGTTATTGAGCCACATTAGTGTAATTTAATATATTCAATCGTGTCACTATAAAATGAAAATATCTTTTACAGTGTAATGATGCTGTCGTAGGTGACAGAAATCCTTAAGGACTGAAAAAGAAGAGGACATAAACTGGGAAACTATCTCCTACGACCCAGCAGCGTAACACTAAACGGGTGACAGATGAGCCGCAGTGACAAGAACAAATGGAGGTAGTAAAATGATAAAACATCTTCTCGGAGCATAAAGAGCTTCCAGAGAATCTCTGGTTCAACAAGGGGTGCAACGAGAAAAAAACAAAACAAATGGCTGCTGTAAGTGTAGACTTAAACTCTGAGGGGGTGCAGCCACTTTCTGTGTTTAGGATGAAAAGGCATCTTCATTAGACCACTGAGGTCTGCAGAACAAAGAATAAAAAGGCTGATCAACCCTTCTCTCCCTGTGGTAGCTGTTCAAGCACAATTAGGGCTTCGGAAGCAAGCTGGAGACATTACTCCAGCCTGGTGTAATAAAAAATAGAATGGAAGAGGAATTGTTGGAGGGAGGGGATTATAAGACACAAGAATGGGGGAGGGACAGACAGATGGTGGCCAGAGATTGTGTGAGGTTTGTTTTTTGCATCACAGTGCTCATTATTACATAATGTGTGTGTGTGTCACAAAAGCACAACGACACAATCAGCAGGTATGATGCACATTGGGGCAAATGGAACACTCATTCATAAATATCTTGAACATAGACAATGGTTGGCTAGATCTCACAGTCTAAAAAAGGTTATCATAATTCATGTAAAACCAGGTCAGTGGGTACTATGGGATTGAGGGCACAAAATTAAAAGAAGAAATCTGTGATTTTTAAAGCAAATATATATATATATATATAATATAAATTGCAGTCCAATCTTGTCCAATCTTTGTAAAATCTTAAAATCATTTACTCAACTGTTAAAAATGTGTAAAAAATATTTATTTTTGATGGCAGCAAGATAATAATGCTGACTAAATACGTGCCCAATTAGGTGACTTCATTCTTTTTAAGAAAAACTGCTTACTCATGCCCCTATATTTTGTTAAAACATAATTGTGGAAAAAAAGATCCAAAGTTTGGGCTCTGGGACAATAAAAAAAGGACATGTGATCTTACTTTATGGTGCGTTAAAACTGAATGGGATGTGATTTTTGGCACTGTGCCCATGGCAGGTCAACCCGAGTCATGTCTATGCAATATGTGTCTGCAGAGCTGTATGGGAGGCTCTCAAAGGTCTGCATGTTTTTACAATTAAGAGTCTGCGTGATTGATTCGCATTACATTTGGCTGCTTCTATTGTATCCTTTTGCACGGTGTTATGCGAGTATTGTTCACTGGCCTGTTCACCTTCACATCAACTTTGTATATGGTTTGTTCATGCGAAAGATTCAAAGCATTCCCATGTTCCAGGGGGAAGGTTGCAGCGGGGTGAGAAGAATGATGCGATGCAACCATCATGCTAAGAGGCTACCATGAAATCTAGGGTCATTTCAGTTGGTCTGGTTTGCGACCCCCACTATTATGTGATTGGCTTTATACTTCAGTGTATGACCTGGTTTTTACATCGGAGTTATTTTCTATTCCAGTGAAGGCCATAGTGCAAGATCTGGATGAACGCTTCAATAAGAATCTTTAAAATGTTCTACACAACATTTTAAGGACACAATACCATATCATAAATAATAAAAAAAGCATATATTTTTCTACCAGTAGCCATTGCAAATACATGATCAAAAAGCCACAAGTAGTCAAGTAAATTGTTTAAGCGAGTAATCTTTGGGCCATGCAGCCTTGCTGGAAACATGGAATTACTTGAAGACAACAAGAAAGGAAAAGCTGGCAAGAACAGCCAAGCACAATGATCCATTTGCCTGATGTTCTGGCTCCGAAATTCAAAAGAGAAAGAACAGCAGCCCAGCATTAAACTGCTCTGGGTTATGCAAATGACACGATGAAGTGGTGAAGGGAACATTAAATCAATGGTGCTGCTCTTTAATAACAACATCAATAACTGTGTGTGAAGTAGTTCCCAAACCATAATATTTATACTGTACTATCAAACCTGGGGCTTCTGCCAACACAGTGCCACTTGTGGCTCCTGTGGTTGTATCAGGGCCTTATGGGCTCAAGCATATGCAAGAGGCACCAACACATTTTACATAGTAAATTCCACAGCTTGCCACAAGGATTAAAAAGATAATGTAGAGGAACACAGAAACATAATGAAAGACAGATAAAAGTTATAGAATCTTAAAATATGTTGCCAGTTGTACCTTGCTCCTTTATTTGCCTGATTTGTTTCACAGTTTCCTTCAGGATTGCACATTTGTCAGGCTTGACATTGAAGTTATCGATGTCATTGAAGTTGGCGAAGATCAGCTCAGCCAGCTCTTCAATGTATTTGTTCTCGTGCTCACGATTGCGCTTCTCATTGCTTCGCTTTGGACTGGAGAGACAAAGAAGTTGGTGTGAGAAAGAGTGAGAGCAGGAACGAAGTAATGATGTAGAGAAGAGAAATGTTAAATAATAGTAAAAACAAACAAAAAAGGTTTTAAGGCACTCATTATAGAACTGATCAAGTGATTGAGTTAAACCATATTTTAATGAAATTAAGGAAATACAAAATAGAGGTTGTGCTCAAAAAATACTCCATATCTATAGGCCTCATCAATAACATAAATCAAAATCCTTGGCTGTTTGACTGCCAATTAATTATGTAGATCTATTGTAAAGAATTCAACATGGCCTCAGGGTTGCCATGCCAAATGGCTGTGGATAAATAAAACATTGTAGCAATGGCAGCATTTGGGCACTGATTAGTACTCTGCACAGGGGGCTGGGTGTTGGACCTGTCAGGCCAAAGAGAATCCATCTGTATAGTTTATATGTTCTCTTTGTGACAGTGTGCTTTTTCTGTAAGTATTAGTTTCCTGCCACAAACTTAGGACTAAATAGTTGATTAATTGGCTGTTCTACAAAAAATAGGAATGGTTCATTCTTTCCACAAGCAGACTCTAGAACACTTAGAGAAACCTGTGGTGTATATGCACTGAGTAGAACTGTCAAACCTAACCATAGTCCATTTATAAGATTGGAATGAATAGTATTCATTGCTGGCTTTAGCTGCAATGGAAAGATCCCAAACCAAGATCATGTGCTCATGTATTACAATCTATAGAAAGTATAGTTACTTCTCAGTTGATTTGTTACATGAGCAAAAAAAGCCACAAATTAGAATATAAGGTTAATTTTTAAATCCATGATTCAGATATGAGGGAACTATGACCACAAAAAATGACACAACCCTTTAGCAAGAACACCACCACAGGAGATAACTAGGGTTATACCCATTCTCGTGTACTCTAATGTCCTAATGTATTTCTTATTGGTCCCCAATTTGGAAATGCAATTTCACATAAATCCTTATTAATGTCGTATGTAGAGTAGAAGGAGGCCTAGCTCTAAAACTCTAAAATTACTTATGGTTTCCTTTTGGGTCAATGATATCGGATGCCCTTGCATAAAAGACAAGATACTGTGAAGAATAGTGCTTTGTTGTCTTAGGTAGGTCATAAACTCTTACCTGGGCCCTAAGAGTTCAGTAGAACATTCTTTGCGTTTTCTTGACTCTGCCCTGGCAGGGTCAGACGTGTTTTCACCGACTCCACTCATTATCAATGCATATCACCGTCTGGAAAACAAAGAAAAAAACACATGTAAGATTTTTACACAAACTACCTTACACAGACTACCAAATAAAGCCCAAACAAGCCAGTGGTTTGTGAACATGTCAATATTGACAAAAGGAAAAAATACACAGAAAAATACTAGGTCTGCAGGGTACAGGTTGATCCACTCCACTAGGAGAAATGAGTGAAAATAGAGCAAAAAAAAAAAAAAAAGAGAGAGAGATTCAATCATTTCTCGCTGATGGTGCACCTCTCCCCAGAGAGACTGAAATGAGAGCACGGCACTTAGCCCACAGCACCAGACTGCATGCTCAGCCGTGTACCAAGAAAAACCCATCCGTTACACAAACCAGGCAAAGCCAGCTCACAGCAAGGTACAGTGGCTTTACAATCGCAACATGTGTCAGTGTTTACCGAACACTGCTGAAAACACTTACCTGCATTAGCTTGTAAAAGGCCGTTAAAAATTAAATGTAAGACACATCATTGAGCGGGAATACAGCATGCATTCTAAAGGACTGCACAGATTGCATGTATACCATTAGATTTATTGTGCATTTTATTACAATATGAAGCCATTAGTACATCTTGCAACCATTTAAAAACATATGGAAATTGTCCTTTTGCCCATGTGGAAAAAAAAAATTCTGAACCATTGTTTTAAAGTCACTCTTGACTTGTATTATATACGAGTTCAATTTCTTTTGAATGAGCACCAACATCTGCATCAAATGTGATTATTAGAAGGATTTCTGCCACACCAATGTCATTAAGAAAATAAAACAAAAGAAAACATGTTTAAAAACCATGCATAAAATAAATTTTCTTGGATTTGGGGATGGCAGCTTTTCATAGCTGAATGACAGCACCAAATGTGCCCAGTGCATGAGGTTGGGGCCTGCTGTGTTGTGATACACTCTTAGCCACTCTAACCATGGAAACACTGCTTGACGCTCAGCCATTACATAAGGCAAAACGGAGAACAGGACTGAGCAGTGGGGAAGAACATAGCTGAGCAGAAGCAGTTACACCCTGAAAGGGGGCTGGTGACCATGCAAACTTGAGTCTGGCTCCCTCCTGGCCTGGAGTGACCTACTTTAAGCTACTGGTAGTGTCTGTGCTCATATGGCAGTAACGCAAGCAGTGGTGACTGGCCAGAAAGGCAGGACAGTCTCTGAAGGGTAAACACATTTCTGTTGGTGTGCTGAAGAGTGAGTTGAGTGTCACTGTTGGCCAAAAGAGTGTATTAAAAGATAAAAAATATGCAGATTTTCATTGCAACAGACTCGTGCCCTTGGATTATGCTTCTTGTATGCAACTGGATGGACTTCAGGTTGGTGCACTATGCTGCTGGCTACTGAAATCTGAACAGGAGTAGCACCGGAGAAGTTATGTGCTTTATTAATGACAACAGAAAGAGGCCATTAAAGTCTCACAGCTAAATGTTACTCTCTCTTCCTATTGGTTGTGCCTGCACTTTCCAGGACAGGTTACCATGGGGATTCTTTGCCTGATTGGTTGTGCCTGTTCTATTAGGTAAGATATGATTGGATGCTTACATCTCCTTGACATGGCAGTAATGATGGGTCATTGTAGGGTGAGGGGAAGTAGAAGAGACAGGAAGTACCAAGCACATCTCAATGACACCAACACAGACAGCCAGACAGCCTGGCTACTAGGCTGTCCACCAAGAAACGGTAACAGACATCTATGTATTAGAAACTGGTTCTTATCTGTAGGAAGCAGTTTACATTTCTAGATGATCACTGAGGTCCAATGCTGGTTAATATCAAAACTGTTCCTGATAGTTTTACTTTTAAAATTACCAAACATTTTCCTTTTTAGTTTTGCTCAATTCAATCCACAGAAAAAGAATGGCACATATTAAACTGTATGTTTTTTCTAATGAGATGAAGTCCTGCACATTGCACTGTGATTTTTTTTTACCATAAAACCACGTTTACCCAGTTGAGGTTGCACGTATATCTTTTTTATAATCCAAATACTTGTAGATGGGAATCATCTTCCTCTTGAAACTTCTGCATTAGGCATTGTGCTGTTGTTATCATCATGGCATTTTATGTCAGTAAAAATGACTGGAAAGGTCCCTAGGATCATTGGGTTTATAACAGCATCTCCCCTTTCACTCACTTGTTGTGTAACATTAAGGTAGTGACGAACTCAGGTTACTTATATAAGTGTAGTAAACACCTCTACCCAGTCTCTCCCATCTCTCTGACACATGTAAACACACCTAAATGTATACGTGTGCTGAGAGGTCAGCCGTGCCAATGTTAACCCAACACTTCTCTCTTCATTACAGGTTTTCATCTACATCATCATCTGTGCCTCTGACTCACAAGGCTGAAAGCAGGGTTCTGTTACCAAACCACTGCAACAGCCACAACACTGCCTCAGCAAAGTACACTTGGTGATTCACTACCAAACCTACAAAACCAATATGTTAAGTTGCTGTTACTCTGAAGTTCTAATGTTATGATGGTTGCTCTGGACCCTTAGGGTGACTTAAATTTCCATTATGAACTACAAAAACTTTACTGCCCTGGCAGTGGAAAATAGTTTTAGTTAGATATTGTATTTTTCTTAACATTAAAATAAAGATTTACAAGCCATGCTTTACTGTAGTAAATTTAAAGTGGGCAATACAATAGCTTTGAATTATCTTTTGCATGTGAAAGTCATGTGAATAATTGCAATTATTCACATATATAGATGTGAAGCTTATGTATGCACCTGGCAATTACTGTCTAGAGACCTCTGAAAGCTGCTCTATTTTATTCAAACATGAAGGTGAATTAAATGATTGAGTCACTGAGACACTGAGTGAGAGTGTCAAAGAGTAAAACACTCACTCTTTCAGTGTGTACTCATGCCGTGTGTCATCAATAATGTTGGGACAAAGAACATAAGTCATTTAACCATTAAGGTATAATTAAAAGAATACACCACAAACAGATAAAAAAAAAAAAACTTCTTTTAAAATCCTGACTTTGAAAGCACAGCATACACTTGAGAGTAATGATCAAAGGTGTGTGTCATAGCCTATATCTTACATGTCACAGGAGCAGTCTCTCTAGGACTGAGATGGTGCCAACCAGTCTGGCCAGACAGGACTGCAGAGACAACAGGGGTCTGCTGCAGCTGCTGCAGAGCTGGAAATGACACCGTTTTCTCAGAGGACAATATAACTGGAACCTGGTTCCACAAAAAAACATCTGCAACATTGAAAGACATTTTTTTAAAGGTTTCTTAGAGCGATATGGTATTTATATATCTCTTTACATTACTGATTTTCACATGTGCCTTAAAATACAATACTAATTTTATCAAGTAAATAATGAATCCTTTGGTTATTTCAAATGTTTTTACCCTACATTGAAATAATACATTCTGAATTGGAAGCTGTGGTTCTTGTAAACAGGCTATGCACCAGGCATATGTTTTCATTAAATGAAGTGTTATGTAAACCACTACTGTGTTGTCGACAGTATACATACTACTCTGATCCCCCATAATCACGTGCCAGAAACCTGCGTTGCACAGACTGTAGGTTCTTATAGCCATGTGTCATTGACAGCAGTGCAGCAGATGTGATTGCAGTGTTAACTAACGGTATTTTATGTTAAATTAACGTTGGGTGGAAATACGATAGTGGTGGAGCCAGAGGTAAAATACTGGTATTGTTATCAGGCAGAGTACTTTATTCAAATATTTGTACTTGTACTAGAAAACATGCACAGTACCCAGCGACCACATACACTGTAATGGCTCTTCACGACAATCTTTTAACTGAAAAGGAAAAAATAACCGAAATGCTGCAAAAGCCACACAAAGTGAGCTTTGCTCCTGCAGATTTACAGGGAAACAAGCATTTTAAAACACTGCATTACCCATTCCTCTCACTGCATATTGGAGGGAAAATAGATGCAGTAAACAACTGATGGTCTGATTGCCAGGGGGAGAGGGCATGTAGCAGTGTGCCATTCCTGTAATTTCGTGGGTTAGCAGGGGTTTGATTATAGAGTCACACCGAGTCACACCCAGGATTTCTGGAGCTCAAAGCCAGCTGGGCATGACTGTACATTAAACTGCATAAGAAGCTATTGGGGAAGTGTTTGAAGTTTCCTGAACTATAATAATGAGGGCACTTCTGGAAAAGTGCAAAACCACTGAGGGGCACTGAACAATGTCTTGCTGGTGTGTCTGATCTGTCCTCACGTGACTTCTTGGCACAACTCGCCCCGAGAGAGAAATGGAGAACAAGCGTGTACCAATGAAGGCCACTACTGGGGCACTGAAACATGGGCCATTTATATTCCCACAAACTGAAGGGGGAAACCATGACGGAGGAGGGGCTCAGAGTCATGTCTTCTCATCTTACATCACAATATGTACCAGGGTGAGAAAAAAAATGCTGAGTGAGCAACAATACACTGGACACATGTTGGTTCCGTGTCAGAGATTAAAGACCAAGACGTATTTAAAAAACAATATTGATTTTACTAGAACGTTACAGGTTTATGGTGAGCTTTTACGTTGTTGACAGCTGCTGTTACTTTAAACCAGATGTTGCGATATTAGGTTTGGGGTCAAAGGAGAGGCAGAGGGAAGAGACGGGAGAAACATGATGATGGACTTAAAGACATTAAGAGAATTTGAAACCTAGAATTTTGGCTGCGTTTAACAAGACTTGACTGATGGGCTTTTCATTCTGAACACATGAATGATGAATCAGATCAATGGCAGAGATAAAGCAATAGGAGAAAATTAAGTCAGTTTGTATGTAGAAAGAGCAGACAATTACAAATAGGTCACACCATATTTTTAAAAATAGAAAAAATAAGGTACATAGAGTTTATGTTGAGAGCAGAGGTCTTGTTTGTTTGTTTTTAAGGCATCCCTAAACTGACAGACAATTAAAAATGCTGCTGAGAATAGTGTTCTGGAATAAACTAGGTCCAGTGTCATGTCTGAATGTAACGTGTTGTTTAATCATGCTAAAAAATAATGAAGTATAAAGAAAATGTCTAATCAACCAATTACTTCCTCCTCTGTATAAGTTATCTGGTTCAGTGAATCCAAGTTCTGCAAATCTCTATCTAACGAAGTAAAAGTAAATTACTTTTCCTTTTTTTATTTTACTAAACTCAATCTGTAATCTGGGTAATATAGATCCACATGTACAGTAAAAAGAAAATAAGAATTCACAAAATCAGGACATGCACCTTGTCTTCTAACAAGTCCCACTCAAGGGCTTGCCAGAGAGCAACCAAGAGACAGGCCCCTCATTTACTGAAAGCTGATCATGCTCATGAATCTTTAACACAGGCAGTCACTTCAGAATGTCGCAGAAAGGGGAAGGGGAGGGCTTTTTGTAGTCAAGTCAAGGAGGGAATTGTGCACAAGGCCAATTTGGTAAAGCTGCACCATCAGGGCTTATTTTTTGGAACCTGTTAGCCACAACTATCTGTGCACAAACACTGATGAAAATTAGTATGAGTTAGTAATGAGTATAATGATGTTACAACTGAAGCTAGACTGAAGTTGTCTGCTTTTCTGTTGAAGCATGGTGTAGAGCATGCACAGATGCTGCAACATAATGACTGTTTTCCAGTCTATCATAAATCTGCTCAGGTTATTTTTGATGATCTATGTTTCTTTTTACCGTCTTGTGAGTATAGTAAGTAGCTAAAGGGCAGATGAGTTATTAAGCAGGACTGTGGTACAATAAACAGTTGTTCAGCTGTTAAGAGAAAAAAAACATTTCAGTCTAAAGAGCTGGGACCAAACTCAAGAGGGAGGGGTTGTCAAAAATTGATTACCTGGTTTAAAGAAGTACCTCTCCTCAAAAATCTAGTCAACAGTTCAGCTGTGGCTGAAGGCATTGCCAGAGGGAAGATTCAGACATTACCGCAGACATGGGATTATTGTCTGGATTGAAATGTAAGAATGTCCCTGGTTGTTTCCTCAGAGTTTCTTTGTTTTAATTCATCAGGATGACTTCATCTACCTCTTTTTTAGATCATGACCCCTCATTAAAACAGGCCAATTAGCTGCACTTTCAAACACTGAATACTACTCCAAGCCCACAAGGACTAATACAGACCATGTGAAAAACTTCTTTACACTTAGAATGATTCTGTTGACCTAAATCAAAACTATGTAAACACAAATATGCAAATATGTGCATTTCAAGACAAGTACTGTAAAGCAAAGTATTTTTCTGACAATATTTGGAAAATATTCGAAAAACACATTTTTCACCACGAAACACTTCAACACATCAATGAGACGAGCAGATATAACAAGAACTTTTTTATAAAATAAGCTTGGTAAGAAAAACATTATTTACTCAAACATTCTTAAATATTAACACCACCAATTTCTTACAAATAGTAGAATACCCAGGAATCAGCCTATTACATGTATTACGTTTTAGGAGCATTAATCCTATTAAATACCAAGAGTGGGAGATGAGCCAACAGAACAAATATTACAGAGGACACTTGATACTAGTTTCCCAAACTCACTAAAGAAGAAAATGTAATTATAGCAACAGTTTAGATGTTTGTGTGAAGTCTTCAATTTCATCACTTTGTCTATGGGCTGTGAATTTTGTGCAACAGAATATTGGCATCACCTATGCTTCTTACCTTGGTTTCAGTCCAGAGAGTTCCTCAGGCCATTGCTACAAGACGGTACACTAGGAAACCCTTAATCACCTCTGCCTGCTGAAAGAAACAACAACAAACATTAGACGTACAGAACATGGTGTGAGCCAGAGCAGAAGCAGAAAAGTGTATAATGACAGAAGATTGTAGCCTGTGTTGTGTTGCTTGTACGGTTAGTTACTGTACATGAAAACGGGAGACACTGCTGTCTGATAATAATAATAATGCACCAGACATTTTCTGTGTAAGACAGTCAGGCCAAGCTTGGTAGACAAAATTGGTTTGTGTTAAACAAACAGAATCAAAGCCATCAGTAAAAACCTGAAAACAAAAATTATAAAAAAAGTAAGAAATGTCAAATTATTGTAGAATTTCTATGGGGACAAAGATTTTTGGTTTGATATCATTATCTTTTGTGTACAACCTATATCTGTTCACCTACAGTTTTCTTTTAGCCCTGATTATTTGATTTCCCAAAGCATTGAAATGCCTAGCATTCCCAATTTCCTATATTAATGCACATGGCTATTTTTTCCCCCTTTGTCCTTGGGGACGTCAAAACCTATTACATGGTGGAGCACATTGTACCTTTTCAATTGTGGCAGACAATTAATTAGACAAGAGCAAAGTTTCAATTTAAAAACTGTAATCCCACTGGACTATAAGAAAATGTAACTTTTAAAAAACTGGAGGCATGTGTCGGATTATTAAACCTTGATGGAGGAAAAAACAAAGCTCCACTTGAAACGTTAATATGAAAGAGTTTATCTTGTACAACACGTTGCCTGATGCCGAGAGAATGAGACAGAGCCAGTCAGGACTGGGTGATTTCTCCCAAACAACTGCCAAGTGAACCAGCTGAGGAATGCACTCACGTGATGTCATGTGTTGACATAATGGAGGGTAAACTGATTCCCCCTTTGAACCCTGTGCAAGCCCATAGCTCGAGGTGGTGTGGAAAGGTGTTATTCCATATCTGGCACCACTACACATACATATAGAGTCATAATTTACTCCCTTAAACAAAAGGAAACACATCATAAATTTCACACACACTGTCGACTGCCTGTGTATACACTTAAAACATCCATTAAGGAAGGCATAAACAGAGCTAAAGTCTTAAAAGGGACATGCAATCTGATCTCCATAATGTAATCTCAACTTTTAATTTCTCAGCTCCACCTTCCTCTTTTCCCTTTCCTTTTCCTGCACAGCTCTCAGTTCTCATCCTCTAGAGGAATTTCCTCTGGGCTTAATGCTATCACATGCTCAGTCTCAGTCCGGCCCCTGATCTGTCGACTGAGTGACAGAATAAGGCAGAGGGTAAAAAACTTCACTGAACTAATTATCAAAAATAATTTTAACATTAAAGGCTAAATTTGGTAAAAAGAAAAAAAAACTAATCTCAGCAACTGTGACACTGCAGTTGGTTTTAATTTTTAATTTTTGAAAAACAAGTTGCTGAGAAGATCAGCTAAATATTAATTTCTTCTTAGGAAACAAATTATCACCTACAACAGGAGAAAAAAAAAATAAAGCTGAAAAACCCAAGGGGATGTGAAAGGAAGAACCTGCACATACAGTGACATGACTTCGATAAAATAGGGTGATTCAAGTATCCTGATGAACTATCAGATCTTATTAGGAAAAGAGCATGTTGCTTTGACAGATCCATCTCTGAAGTGCTCGTAAAACCACAGAGTGTACATTGTATAATATTTCCACTAATAACACTTAAACCAAACGTAAACCAATGCTGGGAGTTAGAATGAAGATACAATTAGGCCCCAAGTATCGTTTGGAGGTCTTAGGGAAAGTTAGCAGTTCTGGCAAACATCTATCAAAGGCAAACATGTCTGCTGGTTATGAAATCTGAAAATAAAAACTATGTATCATGCAAATTAAGAGTAAAAACAAGCCACTTATTAAAGAGTCAAATAAGTGACAACAAAAGGACACATGACAAATGAAGTAGTCAATTCCATAAGAGTATCTCTGTTGGCCATTCAGACTCTGACCATCTGTTGGTATTTAATGGGAGGTCAAAGATCAACAGGTTAAAAGTTCAAGCCCCACTTAACCAGTGGTGGGGGATATCACAGGGATGTATGTTGCTTGGTTAAAAACTGACCCATGCCACTAAGGTTTTGATAAAGACAAATATATGTAATCATTAGTACAACTGCTTTGTTCAAAATTGAAATGTACTTCACAGTGGCACTAATCAGTTGTGGGCCTGCTTGAGGTAAACAGCACCTGGAAGAGTAAGCAAAACAAGATCCTCAACTAGAGAACAATTGTACAATGCAGAAACATATGGTGAAGCGAGTGAATTCAAAGAACCTGTAGCACCGGACAAAGTTTGTCTGGAAGAACTGTAAATGCAGCACCAAATACTGAAAACACACACACACACACACACTATATACTGCCATATTTTCAAGAAACTGCAATAGAGGTTTGCACAGGGCTATGTATGTTGTGACCTATGCATCTAGAAACAACTGGGTGTGTACATAGTACAACTCTGCTAAGAATAAGCAGGTGGGTCTGCAAAACCCCTTCAGGCACTTAAAAGGCTGGAGGAAATGAAAAGTAAACAATGAAAGTTGCCATACTGCAGTGTTAAATGTAGTACTGACTGATGCTTAGGATTGCTTTCATTTTGTTAGCAGGCTCAGAGCTCAAAACAATTTTGTTCGGAGGCCTTGACTTTCAATGCTTTATGTGTATAAAAGTTCAAATGTAAGTATAAAAGTTTGAAAGTAAGGGGTTAAATCCCTGTTTGAGTTTACCCAAGACCCACTTAAGAGATAACACGTGAGCCTGCAGAGATTAGTGCGAATGCTGGTCAACCTTAGATTACCTTGTTGCCATTAAATAAGAGAAACCTATTAAGATGTTTGTCAGTTTGCAAACAAGTAAAGAAGTCAGTTAACCAAACAAATAAGAGATTCTGAAAAGTGGTATATTGTTGGCTATGCTGTTACTTCCTGACTATAAATAATTCTGTGCCAACCAAAGTGGAATGTGACTGCTCACTGTTCGTGACTGCACCAAACAGAAGCAACAGAAAACACACGTTCCAGATCCCTGATTGTATGTATGGAACTGTGTTTACATCCAGAAGATTTCCAACATACACTTTAGTTGACACCTATTTATTTACAACATATATGTACATGATGTGTGCAGAAAGTAAAGGCCTTATTGACAACCATAGAGTATGAATCTTCAAGCTCAGGGCTATTTGTGTTGCATAATTTCTCTCAGAACTGGCAGTGTGCTCCCAGCTGAGTAAATGGATTTGTCACTCAGGGCTGGGTTAACAATGCTAATGAGCCAGCTAATCAGGTTCAGAGAGGCCAATGACTAAATGTGCTAGAAATTGACCAAAATGTCCAGGTCACAGAGGGGCTAACCGCCAATGGAGCCCCAAGTGTGTGCTTCTTAAAGTGCCCAGTGATGACCTTTAATCCAATAAGATTTGGGACCAATGTCCACCCTAATGAAAACACCTGGCCTTTTGGCTCTTATCAAACTGGGACCAAGTCAAAAATACCATCTTAACCAATAATCAATAGATGATAATCTTATTATTCTGTACATACAAATGCAAAAGCATGGTTGACACAAACATATGTATAGTTTTATGTGGAGGATGTAATATTAACATTTCTAAAGAACAGTAAGAATGAACAATAAAATACTACTTATTTTATCACAACAATCTGCCATGGAATTTCCCATTTCAAAAACAGTTTTATTTTCCTCCACTGACTTTAGATTTGTGAGATCAGCTGTCATATAATTTCTGGAAAGTACCCTAATAATCAAATACATTACAGTAAAATACAAGAAGATTTCGACTGCGGAAGCATTTCCTTTTCATTCAAACACACAGCACTGTTCTTCCACCACCTTAGCTCTCCCCCTTCTCTCTGACACTCTTATATAGGGGGGTGTGGCTTTACAAAAACATAGCAGGGATTAGTTTCACTTTCCCAGCACAGGCAACAGTGGACTAATGCTTACACTTGTCCGCACTGTAAAGATGAAAAAATATGTTACTCTGAAGAGCAGAGAAACATACTAGACCGACATTTTTGTAAAACAAGAGTGCTGACTAATACTTGATAATTAATCAGTGGATAAACAGGTGCAGGCTGCCTCTCCTTAGAAAGCATACTATAAAGCTTTAATTTCAAAATAACTGTTAAGTGAAAAAAAAACAAAACTTTTTTTTACATTACTTTCTCCATGTGTAATTTGTGTATAATTAAAATACTATTGGTGTAATAAAAAATATTACAAGACAATGGAATGCATAATAAATTAAAGAAAATCAATAAATAACATATATTGTTAACAGTTTTACTAAGAGTGGTTGCATATGAAGGACAAAAAAATTACCAATATCACCTGGAAAGGAAATTAAACAACTAACATCTAAGAACAACCCATTCTCGTCCGCACCTAAACGTGCTGGATAAAATTGTTTAATGCTGAGGAAAATCAAGTTCAAGTCCCTCTAGCATGAATTTGCACTTTGATTGTAATAACAAGGAGTTGAGTCACTCTCGCTCTCACTGGAGTCACATTTTTTATGCAACCAAACAAAAAATGTAAATTACGATAATTGAAAATTGAGTGACCAGAGTGTGAAAGATTGTGTTTTTTAACTCTTTCTACTCAGCCTAAATAAGAGACATCAGTTAATAATTATACATCTATACCCAAATAAGTAATCTAATAAACATTGTTATTTCAGGTCTAGTAATAAACCTAAAATAAGGTGTTTTGAGTTTAAATATTACAAAACCCCTTGAATAATTACAAACTGAAATAGTGGCTTAGCAATAGTCCTAACAGTAACAGCAAAAAATGCAATTTTGAACAAAACAAATGTTAAGAAAACAGTCCACGGAAACAGCACTTCCTGCTTCATGCACAACACAGGGAAGAACAGCTACAGTTTATGTCTTGGTGAAAACAGCATCAACATTGCTCCTCCCATAAAACACCATTATGTATTATTACCCTTTGAAATCATGCCAGTG